AGACTATATTTTGAATTTAAACTTTCAGTATACGAGACACCGTAGGGCTTTTGGCCTGTATGGATTGCGAGCCCAATTGTTACGAAATTGTACCCCCAAGTATATACAATGTAACTTATGCCTTTGTTACAGGCGTTTTGTTTTTAAGTTGACGGTTTTAAGATTTATAATAATAAATAATGGTGATAACCCTGCGTATTATACCTAGGTTCCCGCTGTGGCCCACCAAAATATTATGTCTCACCCATGCCTAATACCTTTACGGGAAATTTGAAATCGAAAAAAAAAACCGATACAACCGGTATATCTTCCTATAGTGATGAATTTATAAGTGGGAGAAGAGAGGGACGATAGTGACAAATTAATCACTCCTCGGGGATTTGTATTTTTTTCTTATACATAAATATATACATATTATTGTAGATAAAATATAATTTGTTATACAAAATAATATAATAATAAACAAATATTTGCCAATTTACAAGTTTTACAATTTAGATTAAAATCCGTGATATTATTTTGCAAGTATGTTTTCGATGACGAATATTAACCTCCAAAAAATTATTTCATTTTTCAATTTTGTATGTATTTCAATTGATAAAATTACACGTACACGCGAAAAATAATGATTTTGTAGTAATCAATTTAAATCTATATTTGTACACAGGTTTCCCACGAAGGTACACATTGCAATATCTCCTGAGATAATAAATATAATCAAATTCTACTTTAATATTGCTCAAAGGAATAAAGAATACAAATATTTATTTTTTAATTCAATTTTTTATGTCTTGGTAAAAAAATTAAAAAATAACTTTTTATTTTATTTTTTTTTGAAAAATTTAAAGATAGCCATTTTATAGAGTTTATAATAAATTATATTATGTAAATTTTGAAATTTCAACTTTTTATTCTCATTAAATTCTCATTAAACTCTCATTAAAATGATTTTTTTAAATTTTTAAGTTCAGAGAAAAAATTGTAAGTACAGCCAATTGCCCATAATAATAATAATAATAATAATAGTCAATTAGCGAATGCAATTACAGTCTACTACATAATCATAGGTAATCTGAATAGTAATTAATATTATTTAATTATTATTATGGATAATTGATTATAGTTATTTTTTTCTCTGAACTTTAAAAATTATAAAAAATCACGAATTTAATTAAACGTCATGTAAGTAAACCCAACGCTACCGTTTTTTGTCATTTGCTGTCTTGTTTTATCAAACTCTTGTCTTCTTCTAGTATATAGTATATTATATATTATAAATACAAAATAAAAAGCCTCTGATAGGCAAAAAATTAGTTAGGCATAAATAACTTCATAAAATAAATTACGTATTTCAAAAATGAAATCAAATAATTTTAATAACTTTTGAATATCGCAAAATATAACAAAACTATAAATATAGATATACAAATATACATATCTATCAATATTGTAGCAGTACAATATAGATAAAAAATTCAAAAAATTTACTACTCTGAATATTTTGATATGTTGTTGGGATAATGTAATTTCAAACTATATAGGTTGTCCAACGGATTATGTGTATGTAATGAAATAAAAAGATACATCATAGGTTGTGTTTAGTAGTCTAAAAAATAAATTTGAGTTAAATGCATTAGTTTTTGTTTTCAAAACCTTTTAAAATTAAATTTTAACGAAAATCGTATAAATTACAGCCTTTCAAAACATATAAAACCGAATTTGGCTTCAAATCATTTTTCGTTAATAGTAGTTTATCGTTGGTTAGAGGTATAAATTAAATAACTATATGTATCTTACCTTACCAACTATACACCTACAACAGTGGCCTCACACGTCCCCAGCTCTTTTTTTTTAAATTATCTATACATATATCATAATACTTTTACCTACTAATACCTTTTTTTCCTGTGAATAACTTTTCTACCGGCAATTTTGCTCCGATTTAAAATAATAGCACTTTTTTGGAAAGTAAATCTGACTAGGGCAGTTACTTTAAGGAGGTCATTTTTCGATTATCCCAATAAATAACAAAACGTGGTAAAACCCGGGAAAACCGAGAAAAACGGGAAAATAGGTACAATATTAAACAAAAATTATTAAACGAAATATATTATAATGCATATGTAATTATTTTACCATAATGTGACATTATATACAATATATATTGTTCAAAAATCAAGACTATTAACTGAATTCTGCTCAGAATCGTTTTTCATTAGCAATGATTGATCGTTACGTTCAGATACACATTAAATTTCCCCTCTACTTTCCCAACTTCTCACTTACATCAGTGGCCCATCCACGTGCGAAGTATTTCCATCTTTTTTTTGTAAACCAGATATATTTTAATGTGTTCATTTATAAAAAAAACCACATTAAATATTCATATTAATGTATTATTCAATGATCGTTCAGATATCTATGCGAAATAACCAAAATAAAATATTTTCATGTTTGAATTCGAAAAGCAATTTAATTATAATATTACTTATATCTCTACGTATAATACATTATAAAAGTAACGTCGATGTGAACCTGGAGTACCTACAATTCTACACTTCTACTTGGTCAACAAAATATGACGGGTTTGTTTTTTCTCTGAACATCTTTTCAACCATAAATTTTACACCGGCTTTTAAGTGTAGCACTTTTTCTAAAAGAAAATCTTACCGCGATGGTACTTTAAAAAGGTCATATTTGATTTTCCCAGTTGTTTTCATAATAAATGGGAAAAACCGGGGGAAATTTACGAAGTTAAAATTGTATTATTTTAAAATCGTAAATATTACGGCCTTTCAAAACATATACAACTAAACTCCGTTCAGAATCGTTTATCGTTAGCAAAAATTAATCGTTGCAATAAATCCTACGTTCCCAACTTCTCATCTACAATAATGAAACCACACATCGTGCGTAGTATGTCCGTGCCTTATTTTTTTCAATTATGTTTTCAAAATGTTTTAACAACACCTGACTCAATAGACTGATAACGAAACAATATTATTTACGATGAAACGTGAACGCCTCTTCTTATCGATGAAAATAGCATAAAAATGGGCAGATCTCATATATCAAACACGGCGTGTTATGTTTATTGTTTAAATATACTCATCACACACTGCGTAATAATTTACCGCGAAATAATTTATTATTCTTAAATTCAATTGTTACCGCACTACATGTCAACCGCTATCGGTGTAATATATTTATTTTTTTTTTTGTTCATTAGAAATTGTCTACGGTACTAAAGTATATTTTTATTTTTCATACGTTTACATAAACCTACCATTTTTTTATTTTAAGTGAATTACAATTATTTAACCCCGTAAAAATGCTCAATAATGTGTAACGAGGTTCACCGTAAGTTTACTTAGCGGTAAAAAGCATCAAAAAAATATCGAGTTTTGTATTATAATTTATTTATGTTCCTAGAGGATTTTAGTTCAAATTTACGATAAAAAAAAAAAAAAAAAACGCCATAAACACGAACAAATATAATTTATTTGATGAGACGCGGAGCAATATACAATTTTCAATTAAAATTTATCAAAAAACTACGGTTTTCGTTTTTCGTTTGAACTGATCCGTCTGCGTGTACATTCCAGATCGTTTACCCCGGTATCAATAACCAATAAGCCGGGCTTACGGCCACTATCCCACCGGGCCGTCGGGCCTTCGGAGCCATTCGTATTAAAGCTCCCCATGCTGCAGTCGTAACGCCGTTTTCGAACATTCGTTAGAGGCGTACAGCCATTATTGTATGCGCGCAACACTGATACGTAATACTTGTGTGTATAAAAGTACGTACACGACGTTATTTCTCCCGTTGGGCGAACTAGTTACACACAACACGCTTATGCACACAAGTTTAATTATTATTATCGCCCGCGGTTACACTGTTAATGGTTATTAACGGTAATTAATCGAAGACCGAGCGCGTTTTCATTGTGCGTATTTATAAGCGTTACTTGCGCAGTCCGAACTATGTATTATGTAAGTACAGCCGGCACAGGCTGCAACACGAACGCCGAACGCCTGAAATACATTCGATATTTTGTATTGTTTTCAGCATTGCGATACGATTTATCTATTTTAAATGTTTTTATAATCTACGAAAAATGTAAAAAAACATCTTTCGATATAATAATATACGAAAGTCCCGCGTAAAATTAACAATTTTAATAGGTACCTGACCGTGTTAGGAAATTCGAATTGATTTTTATACAAATACATATTTATATAAACGAATTGAAGTCTATTTATAAGATTCTTTATTAATATTTATAATATCCAACTGTATAAATCTAAATTGACCTTCCCGTAAGTCTCACCTGACCAGTGGCCACCATTGGGGGAAATATCCCATCAGGTAATACATATATTATGTTGTCATTTTAAATTTCGACCCAATCGCGTAAGAGGAAAAATCTGACGGAATGTCGGAACTTAAACTCAATCGCTAGTTTACAATTTTATTTTTACCGGTTTTTTTAAAAGTTAATTATGGATCAAACACAACTCTGGGAAATCCTGAAAACGAAAAACTCTAAAAAAAAAAAAAAATGTCCGTTTCAATATTATCCGCGAGTAAACTTCACGAGGTTACTTACCTACTTATGTCTACAACTTCGAAATAAGAACATAAATAATATAGATAACAAGAACAGAAAAAATAACGAAATACGATTTTTAAATTTAATTTTCTGAAATGTTATATAAGATTATAAATTCCGTTTACAAGTGATAATACTCTCTTAATAATTAACGTGCTATTTTTATAGCAATTCGGGGGGAAAAAATGTATAACGCCTCGACTGTCGGAAATCTAGTCGAACTTGAAAATGCGAAACCGGTACCGCGGTGTAAGTACTTAATATATTTAGTGTTTCAGGCCACGGTGGGGATTTATCAAAAGACGTATCACGCGTTCGCGTTGATTTAAATCAAAAAATCGATATTGCGTAGCGAAATACGTATTTTATAATAGTATTATTTAATACGGTCTGTCGGCCGGTGCGCAGTCGCGAGACGAGAATTACTGTAGCTAGGCGATCGTGTCGCATTGGCTTTGCGTGACGCGCGCGTTTTTATTTTCTGTTTAATTACTTTGAAGTTACGTCGAATATTAATGCTATTTGTAGTTTCATTTTTCCACTGTTTTATTATTTGAGTGATTCGCAGATATATACGTATGCATGTCCACCAAAACTTGTTGTTGTTGAAGTTTGAGATGTGAAAGACGATTTACCGTATAGATATCTATAGTAAGTCAGATGACGGTTATTTTTATATTTTTTATATTTCCGAATGTAAAACAACAATTGTCGATATAATTTTTTTTTTTTTGACCATTTAAAAGCAGATTTTTTAAAAAATCCTTTTAAAACCCATTTAACTAATTCCATTTAACGTGTTTTCTCGTGTAAAACCATGGATCGCTTTTCTATTATTATGCGACATTCACGTTTTACCACGGTAACCCTTAAATCAAAAAAAAATATATCAAAAACCTGTGTCACCTACCTCAGTGACCCGTTTATCAGCTTCTACATGCACATTTTCCGACCTCTGCGCGTGATCGATTCGGCTGTAGAGAAATGCCTATGCACACAGAGAACTGCTACATTTTATTAGAATAGTATTTTTTTTGATTGAAAACCGTATAAAACAAAAGCTGTATAAATCAGGAAAGTAAAATACAGAAACATAGGTTAAAGGAAAGATAAATACAGAAATGGTATTTTAGGGATTGAAAAAATATTTTTTGGAAAAAATAACACACCGGAAAGTAATATTCGGTAAACAAAAAAAATATTTTATTTATGTACCCTATTTTTATTTTCCTATAAAAAAGCTTTCTCGAGTATAATTTTCCTAATAGAAATGTATTTCTGATTTACACTTTTCTGATTTTCACAGTCATGTCTTATATTTTCTTAAAAAAAAAAACCTTCGCTATTTTACCGTGTTGTCTGGTCCCTCAAGTTCAATAAGCAGGTACCCAAAATCATAAAATACTCGCGTTTTATAAAGTTTAAGTAGTATTATATTTTTAATTTTTGTTGAATGAATTATTTGAAACTCTTGAAATTTGATCAATTTTTATTGAATGTCGTCAACAAATATTAATTGTAGGACACAACATTTTGGAATTCTTGAAAAGTAATACAATTTTGTCAATTGAAAATCATTCGATTAGTTAGTCTACTGCATAAAAACCAGTGATAAAATTGTATCAATATTATTTTTGATGATTTATCAATATCATCATTACTATTTTCTATCCGCATGAATATTTTATTAGATATTTCAAAACGGCTAAAATAGCAACAATGCATTCAATGAAATATCAACAGTATTGGTTTATCAAAACGAAAACGACGATAATGATTGTAATAGGCTTCAACCAAAAAACGAAAATATTATGGATACAGTTTCTATTTTAGATTCTTTTTGTGAGAAAAATTATCCGAAAGTTTTGCTGAATTCAGATAAGGCCATGAGAATTTAGTAATGTCAACTCAACTAACAATTTCAATTTCATTTGGTTTTTTTTCAACCTAGATATTGTGCCATTAGGTCCACTAGTATTACTCATTATTTTAATTTTTACTGGGACAAAGAAAATCAAAGAATAAGGAAATGAGAATCGACAAACATGACTAAGTTTTTATGACTAAGTAGTTATTACTTTATGGTTATAGAAAATTATAATTTACCAGTAATAGTTTTTACATTTTGAGGTTAGAATACTGCATTATAATTTTTTTTTTTTGTATTGTTGTCACCGTGGTTTAAGTGAAATATTTTATCACACTCAATAAATATATGGTAGACCTCTTCGTGCATTCCCAAATCTCTGTGCTTTCCTAAATATACTCTTATCCCCAACATACTCTGACCTTCATCATAAATGTGGACCTTATATGAAATTTCCTCTCTCCCTCTTGTCCTGAATCCGCTCCAGTGTATCATGCAGTAAACATATAAGTATGCATATACATTTGTAACACAAAAATAGTATCCATTTGTGTATTGATAAAATCGTAAAAATAAACTACTTAATAATATTCTTTACGTCGTAATTTTTTAACACTGAACATAATTATTATACAATTAATTTACATATACGGAACGGAAATCATAAAGATATTCGCAAAATTATAAAAAATTCATAAGGTATACTCATTTCTAGTGCTTAATATTTGTTATTGTTACTGAAATATAGTTAGTGTAACAATTGAAAAAAAATACATAGATTGAAAGATATGTCGAAAACATTTTACCTGTGTTAACTTATCACCTACTATAGATACCCGCACAGATTGTACTACAATAATTAATAACAGTTTTTTGTATAAGTGTTATCAAGGTAACCCATAAATCAACAAAAATAATAAGATTTTTGTACTAAAAATACCTAAAAACTAAATTTTATAGAATGGTATTTAGTAGGGTGTGGATTTCAATAGCTATAAATCTTTTCCGGTTATGTAGGACATTTTGAAAAAAAAAAAACAAATAAAATTTATAATTATTGAGTCTTTTGAGGTAATCTTAAATAAATCTTTTTCCATAAATCAACAATTTTTCCAAGGATTTTAGGTTAACTTAATTTCTGTTTTTTTTTTTTTTTTTTGTAATCATCACAAAATCGTTTAAGGTTTATTTTAACCATACGATGTAGTACATACGCTAATATTAGATAAACCATTTATGAGGTCTAATAATTAAAAATTTAGACCACAAGAGGAGAGAAAAAAAATTAATTTATTATTTAAAAATCTGTCCTAAGATAATGAGGACGGATGCAGTCACTGTTGTGGGTGGAAAGTCGGGAAGGTAAGATACAGAAAGGAATTGAATGTACTTAAAACTACCTCGGTAACCCAGAAATCAGCAAAAATAAAACCGACGTATAGGCATTTGTTGTTGATTTTTAAAATTGTATAGATAAACTGTAGAGAATCTAAAATTATTCTTGAAATAAAGTACTATACTGGAGATGAATCTGCATCTTTTAAGTTATGCGATGAGGAAATCGGAGAATTTTCACTAATAGTGAGTACCGGGATAAGCCAATATCGTGTATAGGTCAGTAATATAGATATTGGAAAATTGGATATGTGGTATTTTTCAAAATCGATATTTGACTGGATATGTTTAGAGAAAAATATGAAAAAAGCGTTCAAAAAACTGTCCTAAGATAATGGGGATGGGTGCAGCTACTGTTGTAGGTGGAAAGTTGGGAAGATAGGATACAGAAGTTAATTTAATGTATATCTGTAAGCAATGATGAATTGTTGCTAACGAAAAAAACGATTTTGAGCGGATGTTTCGTCAACAATATATATGTTATACTATGGTAAAATAATTAAATAGGCATTATATACTCTCTAGAATAATATTTGTTTAGTATTGTACCAATTTTCCCGTTTTTCCTGTTTTTTCCAGGTTCCGTGTTTCACCCGGTTTTTCCCATTTGTTAAGAAAACTCCTGAGCAAATTGATAAATTACCTCCTTAAATTACCACCCCAAAAATATTTCCTTTCGGAAAAAGGGTCTACATCGTATACACCGGAGTAAGCTTTTTGGTAGAATAAGTTTTCACATAAAGAAAAAAAAAGTAAAACCAATACATTCTTCGCTACACTCAGTATATAAAATATATATGCAATTTATTACCCTTCCCTACTCCGAATGAAATTTTAAACTGTTATAACTCATTAATGGTAAAACTGATATTAGTATTATGAGTACTTAATTCGTGTAGGGGTAAAAGGTAGAGGAGGATAGAAGAGTTGGAGTAAAAATTGAAAATAATGTTTAAAAAAAAGCTTAACAATTCCATAATGATTAAAAAAAAAAAAAAAAATAGGATAAGCCTGTAATTATATTCTTAGGTATTTCTTATTAAGCTATGGCCGCAATTTCTGGATAAAATCAGAATTTTGTGTGATGATAAATTATTGTATTTTAATTACTACTACACTTTACTACTACACTACACATAATATTAACTATCCCGTTAGAGTTTCAATATCTTCAAGTATTTTATGAAGTATTTATTGTGCGTAACCTCTCAAACGTTGGTACAGAACAGACATTATTATAATACAAATCGTGTAACTAAAAAACGGTTAAGCGAATTATAATATCCCATAATAACAATAAGAATATTCCTCAACGCAGTGATCCCGGCCGAAAAACTTTCATGTATTGGAAAAACTTTCCGATAAGATCATAATAATAACGGTGTATACGAGTATATTATACTAAAATACGAGTATAATGTTACCTGTTAGATTTTATCCACTCAGTATATAACGGAAGAATATATTTCATTCATATTCGTATAGTCTAAAACGATTTATATGAGAAAACATTTTTTAAGTTGTAAATTGTTGAGAATAAAACGAGATATGGTCGGTTTATGACGGTGTGAAAAATCTGTAACGCATTCCCCTCGCTCCCTATATTTTTTTAACGGCAATTCTCCAATTATTTTACGGTGAAAATGTAATGCGGTTAAAAACTTAAATTATTTTTTAAATACTTATTATAACACAATAATATTATTGCGGCACGTGTATGCATAAACAATTTTTCTAGGATTTTGTATTACATTTTCATTAGCTTATCTTTTTCGCACGATAATATTAATTCATTGTTCGTAAATAAAATTCGGTTTTATTGTAGTTTTAAATTTTAAATTTGATTTGAATTTCATCAAAAGCTAGGCTAACTCAAGGCTAACTAAATAATATGAACAACATGAAACGGAGGATTTTGTATTGGAAAACAGAGTAATATATACTAATTTATTGTATTACGCATTATTGAATGACATGCGATAACAGAGAAACAATAATAAATATACAATAATGGTAATAAATACCGGTCTGTGATTATTATTTATGCGGTATTTATTTAGATAATTCATTATAATTAATAAACTAAGGTGTTTGTAAAGTATTATTATTGAAGAATTCCAGTAGTTTGTGCATCTCTCCTAACAATGCGTTCGCTTAAATATTCAACTTCATATTTGTATTTATTTATGGTATAGCAATTTGATTTTGAAATGTACCTAGGTATGTATTTCATCCCGAACCGACTATCATCGAGTTACAGCCATAGATATAAAGATCAGAGATTTCAAAAGGGGTCTATATAAGCCCACAAGGATATATTCTGAACTGAAAAGGAACAATTTCATAGAAAAAAAAAATTGGGGGAGGGTATGTAATGTAAATAGGAGTAATAAATGATATTAGGGGGTCTAGGAAAAACAGAATAAATTAGAAAATTGTATACGGATTTCAAAATTCGAGTTTTCGATTTTTTTTAAATTTATTGCCTATGTATTATGTTTTCTGTACATATAATGTGCGTAATAAAATGATGTTAAAATATTTTTCCAGTTTTGAAATTTGCAAATCTGGATTTTTCCCACTATTTATCCCATATATCGTCAATCGTACTTATTTAATGTATATTATATATTATTATATTAACCAGGGCTAATAACTTTAAGAATGTGCATATTTTTTTTTAGTGATCTTGAGGTACTTACAATTAAGCTATACATTTGTTTCAGAAAATCACGAGGTTACACAAATAAATGTTTATGTTGCATATTTTTGCATATTTCGAAGTTAAAGTGCTATTTTGGTTTTTTTTATGCTTAGAGCTATTTCAATATAGTAAGTTTCAAAATAATATACTTAATAACAAGAATAATTTAAACAATCTTGAATATCTACATGTTCATTTGTTTCTTTTGGCGTCCGTTTCAACTCAGTAAGACAGTAATCATATCGATATAATATACATATATACATATCTTATAATTTTGTATATATACATGTATTATATGTATATATGTATGTATTATATATATATTTTGTATAATTTATAATTGTATCACGTCGTATATTGTAAAAAAAAAAAAAAAACTAATACAAAAATAATGTTGCTCACAGGTAGGCCGGTAGGCGTTGTAAATGTATCTACATGGGGCCAGTTAAACAGACATGATTTACAGGATAATTTAGTTTATAAATATACTTTATGCGCCGATGAAACATTGCAACCGAAAGAAACTACAAATAAATCAAAAAATGACCACCTTGATGCACCAAGTAGACAAATATATTCGTTCATAAAGATGCTACACTTAATGATCAAAGCAAGATTTCTGGTAGAAAAGTTATTTATTTATAGGCTCACTAGAAACAAACACATTGTAGTAAAACCAATATGTATAAAATGTAGCACCTTTTCTGAAAAGAAATTTTCTCTAGTCGGTGTATTTAAGAGGACATTTTTTTTATTTTCCAAGAGGGGCTTTCAAAGTAATTGGGAGAAACCTGAAAGAAAATTATAGGTTAAACTGCAAATATTTATGACTCGCCTTGACGTTACCGTTTTCATGGTTTTTAAACTTTGTTCATGATGTTTTCTACTGTAAATATTACTCCAGTCGAAAAATTGCAATGCATCGATGCTTTCCTTTTAAAATAGATCTACTGAAAAATAAAGTCTTTTTTTGATATTTAAAGTATTTTTATAATACTTGGGAAAAACCAAAAACATTGCTCCAATATAAAAACAACAAGATATCTGTTTTGTTTAATTGTTTATCTAGTTTATGAATAAGAGAGTCGATTAGGTTTTCTCTGTAGTTGTATCAATAATCGTGGAAAAGCCGAAAAATATGAATAAAGTACAGGCAAATGTATGAAAATAATTTTATTTTTATTTTAAATTTTGTTTTTTATGTAATTTAGTTAAACATATTCGTATAGAGACTTGAAATTTTAAGATACAATTTGCTTTTTCTAGACGTGGTTAAATTTTAAAATATTTGAGCCATGTTTTAACTATTTATAGATATTTTAGGTACTCTGTAGTTAAAGTTGATAGACTAAACAGAAACGCTTGAAATTTTACATGAGGTTCATTATGATCGTATTAAGTAGTAAAAAAAATTGACTACAATGTAGAATTTTTTTTGTTTTATAAAAATTTTAATATCTAATTTTGACGAAAATCGTATATATTACGGCTTTCAAAAATATGTGACTGAATTTCGCTCTAGATCATTTTTCGTTACCAATGGTTTATCGTTAGTTACAGATACAAATTAAATAACTTTCTCATCTTCCCAACTTCTATCCTATAACAGTGGCTGCACCCGTCCCCAGTGTCAGTTCTTTTATTTTTTATTTTCATTATTCAGTATAAATCGAAGTAGGTTAGATAAAAAGTTCTTATAATAAGTAGTTAAATAATTGAATATTGAATTTTGTATTGGGAATTTCTAAATTAATTTTTAAAACTACTTGAATGAACTATCATGTCAAATTAAAATAGTATTCGAAAAGTATTTATATTTATTCTTGTATACTTTTTCTTATACGTATTTAAAATTTATTTGAAATACTTTCTGAATGGATGTATTTGCATCTGTATTAAAGTACAATTTTTTTTTTTTTTACAAGACAGCATACATGCACAATTTAATAAGTAAAATATGTATTTATGAGTATGTTATATTGGTTTTATTTTTTCAATGTTATTTTTCTTGGTTCTTCCTTGCTTCTTCCAACCGCTGAATACAAATCTTGGCATCTGTGTCTGTTCTCTACAGTTTCCTTCCATATGAGTACTGTCTTAACGGCCTTCTTCCCGCAGTTTCCCCAACTTAACCTTAGCCTACTTGAAGGTCTTTTTAAGATTTTAAATATAATTATTATTCAATAAATAAATAATAACAATAAATAGGTTTTTGAAATATGCACATAGTCCTATGAATCAAAAATCCATTCACAACTAAGACACGTCCGTGTATACTATGAAAGAATTACAATAATAAATCGCGTACGAAAAATATATTTGAAAAAACTTTCTCAAGGTTAAATGCTATAAAATATTACCATAATAACGCATATCGATCACATATTAAATCGTCTCGGTTATATTATATGTAAAGTAAACTTGAATATAAAATTAATTTAATTTTTGTGTTAATAATATCATATGGTAATAATAATAATTTAAGGTTCGACAAAATATTGATCTTATTTCTTTTTTTTTAGATTCCGAATGTACTCCTTTCTATAAGAGACTTTCAATAAGATATTATATTATATTATATAACATTGGTATAATTTGACTTGGTTTCTTGGTTACCTGGGCTATAATAGAAAAACGTGACTAATTATAATTTTAAAATTTAATTGAGCTCGTATTTTGATTGTAATAATTTATCAATTGTATAATAATCCTTGTTGCTATCATTATAATCAATACTAATTATGCTATATCCCTTATATACATAATATAAACTTTCCACTTACAAATTACAACTGTGGCCTACCCATGATGCGAAGTATATCCAGATTTTTTATTTTACATATGATATTGTTTAGGATTTAATAATATAAAAAATAATTATTTAACTACAGTCATTGCCAAAATTAAATTAACCCAATCTGAAATCATTTATTTGTAAAATTAGTTTTTTATTTTCCAAGTCTTAAGTTCAAGACGTGTGAGCCCCTTTATAACCATAAGTTTCAAATCAAACAATATACTACAATAAAAAACGTTGTCAATAATTAGCAACAATAAACCATTGCTAACGAAAAACGATTCTGAGTAAAATGCATTTATACATAGTTTGAAAGACCGTAATAGGTATTTTCGATTTTCATCAAAATTTGATTTTGAAACCATTATACACGTGTTATATTTTTCGTTGTCATGAATAAATCATACAAACAATAATTATGGTAATTAATTTCTTAATATAACACATTTTAATAATTATAATGAGTTTTTGGTTTTTTTTTTTTTAAATAAATATTTGTATGTTTTATGTGAAATCTCACCATAATTTAACGTTTCTAGAAATATCATGTTTTTATCGTGTAAGCCATGGAAATAATTTTTTTGTTTTTGTCCATATATCATTTTCATTTATTTTTCAGGCACGCGATTTTCAATATAGTTGTTTATATTAGGTACTGTTTTCGAAATCAATGTGGATTTATCACTCAATAGTATTTCATTTGTGCAAATTATATTGTAATAATTATTTATTATTGTTTCCAACGGAAACTGTTCGTGCTGACGAATAGAAATAAATGAAAATAATAGTCAAACTTTGGTAACTTCAATTTATCCTACGTTCGGACAATACAGTAACTGATACTGAAGTACAACGCTAAGGACTACCTACCTCTCGATAATACGTTAATGTTTGCAGCATACCATACACAAAACCTCACTGTCATTATCTAACCAAATACTCTCGCTCTTCTTTGCCCGCGCATTCTTGGTAAATCATCTACTCTTTCCACTCGGACCCCGTCATTTCAATTAATCACTTCACGTCTGTACGCAGCTAATGTTTAAGAATTCCCAACGCAAGAAGCTCATAAAACTATTCCCAGGTCGAATTACATTCAATTCTTATTTTCAAGTTACTTTCTTCGCTTTTTTTTCATAGCATAGGTACGTTTGATTTAATTTGTTTGTGTAAATAAAAATAAAATAAAAAGAGAATTCAATGCAAACAATACTGTTCTTGAATTTATAATATTTAAACAAAATGTAAAAGAATTTCCGAAATGTTTGCAACCCCAGTCGACTTTTACAAAACTTTGATACTCAACATAGACATCCCCCGCCTATCCTTAAATTTATTTATTTTTAAAATAACGCCACATACTGAAATTCGAGTAATAAATCAAGTCACACTGATGACTTCTTATAGTATTATTAATATCAGAAAGGTTGTGTTTTGTAATTCTACATAAATGATGTACCCTTCTTTATCGTCTACTCCCTCTCAACTTTTGTCTTACTCTCTAGTAAAATAATCTGTTCATACAACCTACCCGCCCTCTCAACCATATATATTTACCATCTATCTCCTTTTCGGTTTTCTTCTTTTCCATCATCCATCCACATTAATTTATAAAAATATTCCTATTACAAACTCGAAACGTCCCTACTTTCTCCACTTCCTATCTATAAAAGTCATCCTTAGTATAAGCTGTTTTTTTTTTTTTTATTCTTACTCTAAATAAATACATTTTTTCACCGAAAATGATTCGCCAAAGTGTCTTTCGCCCAATCGTCTTTCGCCAAAATGACCGGATACCTAACAAAACTATTTTTGGGAAATCATTTATACTATGGTTAAATACCCGTGTATTTATCCGAAAATGTATAACTTCCCATCGGGCAATTGTTCAATGCAACAACAAAACAAGTTCAAAATGACTTTTTGATAGTTCCGTTTAAAGCAATAAGTGTTACATCATTAGGTGCAATAATACTGCAAGTCAGTTCATTCGATACGGAATAAATACTTAGTAATAATGATTGTCTGGTTAAATCAAATTCTGAGCGAAAAGAAGACAAGTCTTATGATTTTTTTCCTCCTCTTAAACTCTTCTTCGAAAATTAGACTTGTCTTTTTGTGCTGAACCCTTCATTATTTTACCGGTGCCCATCACCAACTTATTATAATTTTTAACACACCAATAGTTCTACTACGCATCAACAGCAAAGCAAAGTCGTGTTATTATAATCGGTTGGCCGATCGTTTTAAAATGTACCTATAGTATATAATAATATACGATAATTTGTCCGGACAATATTATCTGTAAAATAACCAAATAATATCGACCGTAACAATAATATACGGATAGCCACTACGATAATGATGGTAATTATTATTATTATTATTATGGGTTCGTATTATAATAAAATCGTGGGTAAAATATTGTATCGTTCGCGGTGGTTGAAATGCGGAATTTGTGGAATTTACCTTCACCGAGTAGGCATTAAAAAAAAAATTTATATATATATATAAGCTAAAGATAAATAAGATAAGATCAAGATATTACGTCTGAAAATTATTGGGAGGTTATTAATTTATATTGGATATTAATTCGATAATAAATTTACGTTTTCCGTGAAAATCAAACGAAATCGAATCGATTAGCCAGCCTGAAGTGATGCAGTGGTACAATGAATTCAATCGAGTTGGCTAATTCACTCTGCGTTCCGTTGAAAGTCCAGGCTGTTGAAATATTTTTCTTAAGATTTTTAGCTCGTCCTTTTAAATGAACCGAAAATTGTAAAAAGTTTAAACCGTCGGGTTTTCCAATTAACGGAATTTCGAACGGATACCTAACACAAAGTGATTTTTGTATCGGCCTCTTCGTCAACCTCTTCAGTGTGGTTACCACACTTATACAGTGGTGTATTTACACGAAGAGATTAAAAATATATACACATATATCCCTCTTAATGTTTTTTTTAGTATCAACTATTTATATGACTGGGTAATTATTTTTTAAATTCAAATTTCTTTAATTTTATGTCAGAAAAATCGAAAATATGTTGTTCCCTGTTTGTAGTTAATAACGTATGAAAACCTGAACGTACCTAGGACGTAGATATGCATTGTCTTGTTAAACACGAAACCTATCTGTAAATGTATCATGAACGAATTTAAATAAATTACAGTACGTTAATAGTAAATATTTTAATTATAATTACTTATACCAGAAATTCCTACAGTAAATTTATCAGATTTCAATTATATTTTCAGGGTTAATTGAAAAATAATTTATATATATGAAAATAAATTAAAAAATCGTTTATTTCGGTCCTATGTACATATGACACAATTTTTAATTACCATAGTTCACTCTTTGAAAAAAATCCTAAATACGCCACTGGAACCACAACAATACGCATCACGACTATTACTGCACTAGTATTATAGTGTAGACTAGTAAATGCACTCTAGCTGCAATGTAACGTAGTTGTTTGTGTCTACTGTATTATGTTATTATTATTATTATTATTATGGCCATGGTGATGGTGTAATATTACGTATAACTCGGTGTTATTGGATTCGGGGACATAACGCGGAGATGCGGTTTTTTTTTTTTAATTCGACAAAACGGATAAATAACTCGGATTTACGGGACATTTTCGGACTGCGCAACGAGAAAAAAATTCTTTTGATATAATAATATCACAAACGATGACTAACCTCGGGCCCCTTCCGGGACAGTGTATTTATCGAATTACATCGGATTGATTATATTGCACAGGCTCGTGTAATACTATACCCGAGTAACTTTATACATACCTAACTACCTGCTCGTATTATGGCCATTGATGAGTATCTATTTGGAGGAGGGAGGGGGAACAAAAAAATAAAAATACGCCGTAATTTTTATTAAGTCATTCTTAATTTTAAGAGAAAAAAAAAATTGATTTTCTATAATTTTTTTTTCTCAAGTAGAGATTTGATACCCATTTTAGGGGCTAGAATAGTTTGATTATTTTTTTCTATTCAATATAATAAAGAGACTATTTTTGCTCGTGTTGAACTCCGATTTTCATAATTAAAATTCCTATAGGAACTGTATAAATTTTTTAAAAATTACTAGTATTATTATTTTTTTCCTCGACATTACAAATAAATGAAAAAATTGTAGTTCAATGTCACTTGTAAAAGGTTTCATTCGTCAATTAAAAAAAAAATTGATATTGCCCGAATATTTTACGATGTGTGAGAATATATCGCGCCAAGTAATTTTCATTCGTAAAAACGGGCTAGCTCTTTCACTGGGTATCTGGCAGTAGATTAGTGCAACATTTTCATCTTTTAAATTGTCATTAAAATAATAAAAATAATTTTCGATAAATAATTAATTATCTTTTATCTTATCTAGATAAATAAACAAAATGAATTATCTGATGAATTATCATAGATTAATAATTGAGTTATTTAACGTAGTTTATCTAGATAAATGAATATATTTACATTTCCAAAAAATTCGAAAAATTTGAAATTTAAAACCTCATGTCTCATGTCTCATTCGTAAACCATCCTTATTTAAATACAGAACAAAATTAAAAACATAAAGTAATAGGTAATAATATTATCCGGGTCGCTTAATTAAGTTATTTCAGAAATTCTATATCCGGGCCGATATGAAGATATCTACAGGCTACGGTCTAAACGGAGTTGACTAAGTTGACTGCTAATAGATTTATTTTATAATTAACAAATTAGTAATTAAATTCAATTCAATATTATAAATGATAAAAAATCTACACATTGTACCCAACCTTCAAAAATAAACATTAGAATACGGCTAGTTTTATTTAATGACACAAGTAAATAAATTTAAAATAATTATCAATCTATAATAACAATAAAAATTAATCTTAAAATTTGAATGGAATAATATATTCTAAATGATAATAATTATTGAGTATTATATACCTATTAGTTATTAGATCAATGTTAAGTTCATTTTATTTTATTTTATTTTTTAAGTAGAAATTGACAAAAAAATTGTAGATTAATTAATAAAATTAAAACAATTTTATCTTTTTCTTTTATCCAGATAAATAGTGTTTTATCTTTTATCTTTATCTAGATAAATTGTATCTAACTATCTTTTATCTTTATCTGGATAAATGTTTAGTTATCTTTGCGCAACACTGTCAAACAGCTTTACGACTGACTAGCGTATTATATAAAATACAAATTTCAAGGGAAACTTGGAAGACTTTGGGGTCCAAGAAGCTCTAGCTCTCATCTGTGGGATTAACTTAAAGAGACGTCTGTATTACGCGGAGTTACATATCACAGAGATTATAAAAACATTTTAAATAAAATAAACAACTTCGAAAAACTAATAATGCCATATGACATCATTGTGATTAGACCATCACAGTAGTTGTAAGCGGTTAGTCGGAAAGGTAAAAAAATGATAATTTTGATTTTAACCCTAACCAATTCATTGAAATCGAATATAGGAATGTAGCAAAATTTCATCCACAAATCCTTCCCTACCCACTAAAAAAACTCGAATGATTAATCATTATATTATTATTTTTCTTATCAATCTCGAACAATATACTAACCTACACCCTTATTATTATAGGCGAAGAACAAACACTGCGGGCATTTATCATTATAAGTCCCCCGTGGTTTTATTGTAGCATTCAAATCAGTGCGTGACATATTATTGTTGAACGTAAAATAATAGAGTAATGAGGAATTTTTAATTAGATACAATTAAGGGTTGGAAGGAAGTAAAATAGGATAAATTATTGTTGTAGATATTGCGGTAACCACGGTGCTGAATGTATAAACATTTTCTTTTTTGCGACCGGACAATAAAAAGAAACAACAAAATTAACAAAACAATAAAAAAAAAAAAAAAAAACGAAATTACCGTCCGGTTTAAGTTTTAACCATCAGGGTCGACTCTACCGCTGTTTTTCAGACAACTACAGTGAAAATTATTCTTTAAGTACACGCGTGTATAATCCGTCGAATTCGTCGCAGTCGTTTAGCCTATCTTAACCAAAACATATTTAACAAAATAGGCCACTATTATAAATGAGAAGTTGGGAAATTATATGATTCATGTATTATATTATAATAAAATGTAATTTCTAGTTCGTTACATACCAATATTGATATGCAACGATAATTCATTACAAACGATAACCGACTCTAGGTGAAATGCCGTAATTTTAAAGATTTTCGTCAAAATTTCATTCTAAAAGGCTTACAAAAAAAACTACTACTTTACGTTCAACTTTTTTTTGTAACTACTAAGTACAACTTATAATGAATATTAAACTCATGTATACATGCAGCGATGTATGCATCCCAATGCATACACAACTCTGCTCAAAATCTAAAATAAAAATGATAAAAAAAAAAAGAAAAAAACACAAATTCCTTTACATTCTTCACTGCATTTGGAATCTAAATTTAAAAAATGATTTGTTTCTAGTGACATGTTTTTCTGGTTGGTGCGCTGGGAAGGTCATTTCCTTCTAGTTTTCTTATTACTTGAGGAAAACTTCAAAAACACAGGAAAATATACGCAATAACGGTTTCTATGGTTTTAAATTTATTATTATTATTTTATTTTTTTTTTTTTTTGCAATTTGATTAAAATATAACCATACTGCTATTTTATCTGATTTCAAAAAAAAAAAAAAAGCCATGACTCGATTTTGCCACTGTGTAAGTGGTTTATCAACTTAACTTGATTCTCGTTGTAATAAAGATTTTTAATTATTGATAATTTTTATTGATATTATTAATTTTAGGTATTTGTATTTCACTTTATTTGATTATGACTACCTCACATACTGATCGGGTACACTTTTATATTTATCAATTTGAAACACAAAAATAACTCACGTATACGTAAAATGTATTTTAACATACTGTTTTATACGAGTTTTATCACACACGCGATTAGTGTCCAAAAAACGAATATTACGGTGTATTCCACGCGTTTAAAGTGATTTCGGGAGTATAGACTGCAAGCAGGTAAATAGTTAACGAATTTGACAGTTTCCGCAACAGCACTACAAAAACTAGTTTTCATAATTTTTTTTTTTTTGCAGTCACCTAGGTACTCACTATCCACCTGTTTATAAAAAATTCGAATATCTTAAGGTGAATATACTTGATAATTACTATTATGATAATTCGGCATTTAAAATACGAATTGTTATATTACCAGTTTTACAATTCATGTTAGGCTACTATATCGTTTTGGTTTTTTTTTTTGTCCATACTAATTAAATAAAACCAAGCAAACGGCAACATTTCCGTTATCAACTTATACAGTAAATGTGTCTACAGCTCTGAACCGTTTTCCGAGTACTTATAATGAATATAATATTTCACCGTTGTCATTGCCTTCATTAATTTCCGAAATTATAGCGAAATAATATATATACTCGTTCGGCCCGTTCAAAATAATAACTTTTTATACACAGAGTGATCATTATAATTTTAGACACTCATTATTCTGGAAAATGTAAATTTTTTACGGAACTTGTTTTTGAAAAATTTAAGAAACAACCAGCTCTAAAATATTACATTACAATCAATTTTGGGGATGAAATCACTAACCACTTTGAATTTTAAAATTAAAAATGTTTTTTTTTGTAAAAAGCTGTTCCTGTCCAAACTGTTCAACCTGTCCAACCAGGTCGAATACTCTTCTCTTCTATCCAAATTGTCTTCAGGGCAATTCAATTTATTTGCAGAAAGCAACGATACATTATTATAATCTAAAAACGATTCTGAATTGAGTATTATAGTATTAATATGAATCGTAATTTTTTCCGTGTAGCCAAGTCATCCCAGAAATCAAACAAAATTAAACCGATATTTTACCAACGTTTAATGTCAGTTTTTAATTTTTCTAGAAATATTACTGGAAATCCAAACGTTTATTTCAAACAAACTATCACCGACAAATATCATCAACGTCTTATGAAGTGTAGCATTCAAAAACCGTGGCATTTTTACTAACCCAAAAAGTGTTTTCCGAAAAAAAATCATTATTAAAGCTACACTGAGAATCTAGCAAAAAAAAATTAGGTAAGTGTTATAATTTTTTCTCCCGTTGTTTATTTTCTGACCACTCTCACTTATAATGTATCTCGATTTATTTAGCTTTGACCCAGAGTGTTTATTGGTCACAAGATAATGTTACACTCTGCAACGTGAAAACTCGAACTCGAGTTTTGTTGTTTTTTTTTTTTTTTTTCTATCGTTCGTTGGTATAATATCTTATTTATAAATCGGTAGATCGACGGTCGCGGGCTCTAAAAACTAAAAAAACTATATTTGCGGACCCGAGAGTTAATGGGTTTTTACCATCATCACTGCACCGTTTTGTCGATTTTTATCATATCTAAAACGAACGATGAAAGTTTTCCAATTTTATTTATTTTTTTTTTTTTTAACAAACCCAAAGAAAATGTATTTTCCGCCACAGTTTTCTACATCGGTTGTACATGCTCTACAATAAAGACTTTTTGAGAGTTATTTTTATTACAGACAATAGTTTTTTTTGTAAGAAAAAAATAAATAAACACAGAGAAGTATAAATACACACAAACAACTTATTAAATTTAATTAATAACTAATTTAACTATAATGTTATACAACCCATTCTGTCTCAAATGTTAAAAAATAAAAATATGTTAATTTATTTAATAGGATATCATAGTGTGCATAATAATTATTTTGTTCCCGTGTGCATATTGTGAATATAATTATAGTCTAGACTTAATATTAGCATATACATCCATATATATGTATATGTATATATATATATGAGTCAAATAGCAATTTATGATCTTGTGTGGTAGCTCAAATTTTTTTTTTAGTTTTTTTTGTTGTAAAATAAAAAAAAACATTCACTCAATGACTGCGAAAAACTTCGAATACAAGCGATAATTTTTTCGGCAATCAATTCAAAAGGGCGATGATTTTACGGCGACGGGAAAAGGCATATAGGAAAACCGTTGTCGACACACGTCATACATTGCGTTTACTAAAAATAATATTCGTACATAATTATAATACTATTATTGAAATTAGAGGTGTTCTCAACTCGCAATTTAAAATTATGCCGAATTTAAATACGACACGTATGTTTACGGTTTCGTGTGTAGGTGACTATAAACAGCTGATCAAAATATTTCCGAACGAGACACGCTATTGTGCTTTTGTTACTTGACCTTTTTGCAAACGTCATTATTTGCGCACGTTAAACAATTTTATTTTATACATTCTTAAATTAAAATTATTTTATAAATTTGAAACATTTTCGATTTTCATTAAAATTTCAACTTTAAACACTTATAAAAAATAAATCGCTACGCTATCGTTAAGTGAAATTTATATCAGATTTTAAGTATTCTTGAGAAGCCGAACGAATTGTATTTACATAAAAAAATAAAAACTAAAATAGCTGATAATGCTGATAGGTTGGGCCTATCTGTTGTAGATGGGAAATTGGGAAGGTCGGATATAATATTGAATAACTTAATTAGATCGTATTTTGCTATCAATAATTTATCATTGCGTACAGATATAAAATACTGAGATAACTCTAATGTGTCGTACCTTCGCAACCTTTTTTTTTCATCATTAAGCTATATTTACTTGATAACTCAAAAATTATATTTTAATAATATTATGTACTGTACTAAATATTTTTCATATTCAAACAAACGTTATTAAAAAGATTTACCAGTATCTATAATTAGATATATTTTATGTTATCTAAATGACTGGTAGCAAACAGAGCCCGAACCGAATTTGTCTTTAAATTAACAAACTCGAACCGAACCAAACTATTCTAATATTTTATCGAACTTATATTGAACTTTAAAAAAATTAAAGGGTTTCGAGTTCAAAATGTTACATCATTCAGAAATACATCATAAATATCATAAACGTATCTTGATGATTTAATGCCACTAATGAGTAATAACTAAATAAATGATAACGGCAGTGTACCACCAAGCAAGGTGTAAAGGTAGGGTGGGGCAGAAGTGGTCATAGCCCCCAGGCCCACAGGTTCATTATGTCATAATTCATGAAATATACAATTTGCATAGTATATGGGTATGAAAAACATAAAAATGTAATCTAGCCTTGAATATGACACTTGTTTTAAGCGTCAAGTAGGAAATAAATAATGCTTATTGTAAAATGAAACAAAATAAATTGCATTTTCATTTCACTTTTCATCAAAATGCATTTCACCGTTCCGATTACTGACAATTTTCGAACCGAACCGAACATCACTAAATATTTCACTTGTCATTTTTACGTTTGAAATACTTCAAAGATGAAATATTAAGTGGTGAGTATCGGCAACATAAGTCGATATTTTTCTTCAAAACTGATATTTGATCCATTATTACGGAGAAAACCATATAATGTCTTTAGAACGTAATGAAACATCCGGTCCTTAATTCAACCGATATATTGATTGATTTTAATATTGTCTCACTGATTTTAATTTAAATGATTGGTTATCGGTTTTATATCGGTATAACAAACATCAGGTTATCGGATATCGGGAAAAAAGTCATATCGACTCAATAATTATAAATATTTCAATGAAATACTGAAAAATACAATTTTTCCTCTCGAATTATTTGTTTGCTACGTTTGTCCTTGTAATTTCTTTCAGTTATAACAGCATAAATAGTTGCAATATATGGATTCGTTTTAAACTTAATTTACAATATTATATCCAATATTTTATCAAAATATATTGGCCTTGTGCAGTAACAAACACATATCTAATTATAATGTTAATATTTTATACAGTTCATTTGTGTGTTCTATATGAATTATTAAAAACCAAAAATTACCATGAAGATTTGTTTACGTTATTTTTTCATATGACATAGGTGTATAGTGGTGAATACATGGTAAAATATCAATTAAATGCTAACAAATCAGTTACAATTTATTAATAATACAATATCTGAAAGCAGTAAGAATTTTTCAAAACATAACTATTCATATTTTATTACTAGGAATTATTATTATTATACACGCAGTTATTGTCAAATATATATCTCCAAATATGTCTGTCTATACTCTAAAGGCTAGAACCTCAGCCCCCCCTCCTTTTTTTTTAACTCAGTTAACCTGTGTTCCCAGCCAGACGGGGCCCTGCAGTATATTATACAAACGGAAAATATTATGTGTTATAATATGTATTACTACATAATACATTTATACTCGGATAAAATAATGTTGAAATGACGACAAGATTGCAGCTGGTGTGAGTTTTCGGGCCACTGCTTCCGTGCGCGCAACGTTTTGAATACGGATAAATTAATTATTATTGTTTTAAGTTGGTTGCATAGTACATCGGGCGAAACAAAAACTTTTTCCCCGTCCATTATGTGACTTTTCGTTACAGCTCTTGTTCTTAAAACATTATATTATTATATAACATTTTGAATATTAATCTGCAGTATTCGAAAAATATGATTACGCTGGAATTTTTAATTTATACATATTATATATATAACACGATGTTTAAAACCACTCTTCTCCTCGTCAGCTATACTTTACTGGTATACTTATATTATACTCGAAACTATGGCGTTTTAAACAAAGTAATACATTAACGTATTATTATAAACATCTCCACCCCACGTCACCGGGATAGGAAAAAAAACAAGTACCTATTATAGTACCCCATATAGTACCTATTAAATGATACTATACTGGATGATTTTGTAATCATGAACCAGCAATAATTCACTAAAAATCTCAGAGGATTTTATGTGAATTTGATTTCTGTTTATCTTAAGCTTTATTTTAAAACCATTTTAATTTTTTACCCCTACTCCATATACCTTAAATAAGTGCATGCTTTTGATTTTAAAACAGGAACCCCCTTTTTTGAACACAGATTACAATAAAGAATATTTTTCTAGACATTTTTATATGCATAACACTAATATCAGAGTTACCGTTTATGAGTTATAATAGTTTATAGTTTAGACCGGAGGAGTAGGGAAGGGTTATATATAGGCAATTCATTATCATTCCCTATTCCTTCGGTCTAAACTTTAAACTATTATAACTCAGTAAATGTGCACTTATTTAAGGTATATAGATTAGGGGTAAAAAATTAAAAATGGTTTTAGAATAAAGCTTATAATGTGTAAAACAAATATATTCCTTTTTTTAACACGTGGTTTTTTTTTTTTTTTTTTTGATTCACTTTTTCTTCTACTTGCTTTTTTCCCTAAACTACATGCTACCACGAGAATGATAAAAGAAACGAAAAATTTGATTTTATTGGATTCACTATGCGTAGTTTGGTAGCACGAAAGATGACGTGATAATCGGTAAAAATAACCGCGATTGCACGCTAATGATTTATTATAATAGCATAAATAAAACAACCTAATAGTAAATCCTTGTACTCAAAAAATCTTTCGGGCTATACTTACCCACAACAAGGATTTTTATGGAGAAACGTGAAATAAATATCTAGTGTATGCATCAGCTGAAAAATATCTACTTACGGTAATTCGATAATTTATTTACTACATTAGCTACTGTTATTCTGATTTACCACCATTTTTATTTAAACTTTTTTTTTTATAACATCGGTTTTGGTAATCAATATTACTATAAGGTATATATAATTTGCTCTACACTTGAATACGCTATGAGTACAGCAGTGATCGTGTATTGAAATTACAATCTTCCATTTAAAAAAAAAAAAAAAAAACGTATAAAGATGAAAGAGGATATCTTTCATCATATTTCAATTTCAAATCGCCTGCACTAGAATAAGTCGACCGATACCATCAATACGTTATCAAAACTTATTTCCATGGCTATATGACTTAAAAAAATCTATAAGCGGGCAACGGACTAAGACAAATGAAGTTTGAATAATAAGAACTACTATCCTGCATCACTGGCCGCATTCTATGTGGCTTAACCTTTTAAAAACGAGTTTATAAATGCGAAATAACAATTTATAGGGTTTACTGTTACCGTCTATATACTTATAACGATAACGTTTCAATCACTCGGTAAATACTGACGCGTGAATCAATATAATCACTGTGTGCACTTATCGTTAAGAGTTAATGAATTGTCGTATATGTCATCCCCTCCTCGCGATTTATTGTTCAGGACTCGGATGTGATTTTCACTATTGATTTTCTGATTTCTATCTGATATTCACCGTCATTGGCACAAGTGTCCTTTTATAAGTATATAGGTATACCCTATATAATATATATATATACAATGAAACCCATAAATACCGGACACTCTTGGTCGCTGAAATTTTGTCCGCTGTTCAGAGGTGTCCGTTATTTAGAGGGATAAATTGTATTTTTATTAAAACAATTAATTAAATAAATTTTATTTTTACATTAATTAAATACATCTTTAAGTTACAACATTTTATCGACGCATTAATATATCAACGACTGGACGGATAATAGAAGTTATACGTCGTGTACAGTATAATAATGTATATTTTATACAGCATTAAAAGATAACTTAATAGTGTAAACTTGCATTGTTGTTTTATTTATTGTGTTCTACAATTATTCTTAATTTACGATGAAAATGATCAATATTGATGCTAAAAAGTGTCCCGTTATATAGAGGTTTTTCCTGTACATAAATATTGAAAATGTTCCCGTTCCTGAAAAAAATTCCGCTATTTTGAGGTGTCTGCTATTTAGAGGTTCCGTTAAAGGAGGGTTAACTGTATACCGAAAATCCCCAAAATCTCATAATATGCCAAACGTTTCGATTGTTTCGAGCGTAAAATAACGACGGTAAATACGTATTTCGAATTATTTTAATTACGTATTAGAAAATTAAACGTACGGTCGGTTAATATTCAACATTGCACTTGTTTTTCTAAAATACTCACCTAAGTACATTATTGCAAAATATTCACCGATAATATTTTGATTTTTCACGGCAAAGTGGTATGTACGATTTTATACAGAAAAATGGCGACTATATTATATTTATTATAAATATTGCATTTTTCACGGCAGGTACTTTCGAAAAATATCTTCGTTATGAATAACCAACGCACCAACCGTTGCACCCTCAGTATATAGGTTTCTGGTAGTAGATGCCAACTGCGCAGGTAGGTGTACAAACTTGTTCGCGATCATGTGAAAACGTTATATCAAATAATTTCCACCAAATATTATTTCGCGCGTAATTCGGTATAATGGCTCGCTGAACTTGTATAAGACTTTTACAAATAATAATATATATAATGCTGATAGTATTATATTGCGTTTCTTTCGTGGCGTAAACTATATAATTTTAGATTCTGAGTGTAGCGAAGAAGTAATTACAGTTTTACTAAAACTGTACTTGTGTACGTGTGCGTGTGTATGTTCATTTCTCGGAAAACATGGATTAGTAAAAATGCTGAGGTTTTCCACACCTTGTGTTCATTTTATACCAGTTGATACTTTATTTCAAACATTTTTCCCAATTCGCAAATATAATGGCCTGCCCATGGTGCGAACTGCGTCTGGATTTTTATTGTTGGCTAACTTACTGTATATTATATACGCATATACCTACTAACATATAGTAAGAGAAATATATTTACACGGTCATAAAGATTACAACGTTCGTACGTAAAACTTTTAACTATTATCATGCTCGCACTTATTAGACATGAATTAATTGTGATATTGTAATAGATGGTGTAAAGCGTATTTCATGGGGCGTAGTCTTTCTTTTTTTTTTTTTTATCGTAAAATTCATTTACTGTAATCGAAGTTTTAAAGTATAATATCATTGCATTTTCGTCATAAATAAAAAGTAAACTGTTTGACTTTTTTTATCTGGTACTTATTACTGCAATCCAATGCGATATTCAAACGATTTGTCTGTTCACGAGACGTATTACCCATACCCATATTAGGCAACTCATTTTTGTTAACGCGCAATATTTGTTGTTTTCAACGAAAATACGAATAAATTACGGTATAACATAAAAATAACGTCAAATTAAAAAATATATAAAATGTATATTAATGAAATATAATTTTATTATTTCAACCGTGTGAAAACCGCGTTTCTAAAAGTTGATAATTAGGTTGATCATAAACAAAATTAAGACGGACATATTTCGCACCATTGGTAGGTCACTGTTCTAGTTGGGAAATTTGAAAGGATTAGAATTTAGGGTAATTTAGTTTATGTTTTGAAAACAAAGATAAATCATTGCAATCAGAAAAACTATTTTCGAAGCGAAGTGGCATTAGTCATATTTTCTCAGGTGAATTTCTCTTGTAACAAAGTAATCCGAAAATCGACAAATATAACAAAATAAAACCATCCATTATGTGTATTGACATATTAATATCATATGGTTATCTGTAAGGCGTTTTAATTTTTTAGAAATATTATCATCACAATTTTTATGATTTTAATTTTAATTTTAGGCGTTATATCTGAAAAGCAACGAGAGAACCAGATAAAAGTTTCTCTGATATAACACCCAAATTAAGAACATGTAAGTTCATAATAATCGTATGCTAAATAATGACGTCGGAAAAAGCCCGAATAGTTTAATTAAATCCCCAGGGTGAGGGGATTTCGATGTACCAGGCCAACACTGTATCTTATCAAAACTGAAATAGATTTCTTTCACTATACTCAGAATCTAAAAAAAATAAAACAGGCCAAGCTTAAATAATCAATGTGTAATATTTTCATAAATTACAAACTCTTACATATTACAATCATTTTTACAAGTCTGCAGTCTAATGTTGATTTCGGAACGCCTTGAGTGTTCATCGTCCGTGTTCTGATAATCCTTTTTTATGGATCTTATTTCAGAGATTTCATTTTATTCAAATCTCGAGCCTCGTAAGTACTATTATTATGGACACGCATAAATAATAAATACAGATTATTTTCTTAATTATTTTGATTGTATTCGATGCTGTTTCTATAGCCGTTGGCCCTTAAAACTCATTCAGTGGTGTAAAAACTTAACAAAAAAAAAAACATTTACATTCGAAATGTTAAAATGATATAACAATAATATAATACTTGAATATCACTTTGAAACCAATCGATTATAGTTTTCTTAAAACAAAATAAAAAATACTGGAACTTATAATTGTTATTTGTTTGTCCGCGGATCGCCCAATCGTGGACTTTCCGGGATGGTTTTTACGATACGATTTCACAACCGGATGAGAGTGGATTAAAAATCGGACGGAGGAATGAAAATCATTTTGACAATGTTAATGGTTTTTGTTTACTGCCAAACCTAAACTTAATCGAATCTGACGGAATAAAGTTTATTTTGATCGAAATAATACATAGTATACCTATTATATAAAATATAATATTATGTTGTCACAAAACCACTTTACGTCCCTAGTCAATTTCTTAGATTGGACATCAATTTGCAAGAAGAAAAAATTGGATTTTTATGATTTGTTCACTGTCCGGTATTTTATTATTATTATTCATAAAATACCATGTATAAATAATAATATATTTTATACGAGTATATACATAAACATACCAAATTTCCTAGAGATACGGATTTTAAAAAGCTTTTAAAAATCCTCACTCAAAACCCATAAACAACTCGTCGTCGTGCAATATGTACACCATAATATAGTACCCTATTTGATGGACCAGTAAAGAAATGTTCAAAGTAAGTGACGCCAGCCATCTGCAGCTGCGGATCACCACCTTTCGAATGACATCCACGATCAAGTCTAAGTCACATAATACCTGTAACTACTACAAAAAAAAAATAAATACATTTTCATAAAACGCTCGCTTCCGTGTTTACGCGCAATGGATACTCAAAATGAAATATTTTCGCGTTTTTTGCCAACTTATAAAATATAAATATTTATCGTCGAATTTAGCCACTCGACTCCAACCACTATCAAACCTTCTTCTTCCCTCGTCCTTGCAACTGTGTCCTAAATTCAAATATATAGTTATTACTTACGTTATGGATATATCGAGCTGAAACTGCATCAATGTTTCTATCACAGATCGTTTTAAAATTAATTTTTACTACTTATAAGGACCAATAGAAAATGATTTGTCCCGAGACTTTGTTTGAATTCTGATTCTATGTAATTTCATCGTCGTTTTTTAATATTTTTGTCCAAGCTTATTTCTATATAGCTGGCAAGAGAGCCAGTTCCCCCCCCCCCACCAGAAACATTTTCCACCAAAGTATTTTTAAAACAAAATATATTAAATATGAATTAACGTTCTCTTTTTATTGTAGATTGATGGACCTTGGGCTATTCATCCCCCTTGAAACTCATCTAAGTACCCCCCCCCCCAACAAAGCAAATACTTAATACATAAAATCAATATTATGGAGGCTTAAGTCCACACCAAAATATTTGAGCTTTTTGCGCCTAAAATGATTTTGATTAAAGTTTATTGCTTTCAAAAATCGCTGCCTCCCCTATCTAGAGGATCTGCACACACTTATTATGCTAATGAAAGAAGTATGAAACGTTAAATTCTAAATATTATTTAACTAAATACTAAATCAAAGGTTACGTTTGAAAACTTTTGTTTGATAAAAAACAAATGCAATTTATTAGAAAACCAATTATAACGCGTATAGTTGTATTTTAAACATTCATTAACACCTCATTTCAGATTCTGAGTGAAGAAAAGTCTAAGAAAAGAAATTAATAAAAAAAAAAAGAAGAAAAAAGAGATGATACTAGGTATGAGATCGGCCACTGTTGTAAGTGAGAAGTTGGGAAGGTAGGATATATAAAGTTATTTCATTTATGTCTGTAATCAACAATAAACCATTACTTGACGAAAGACGATTCCGAGCGCAATTCGGTAATTCATAATTTGAAGTGCCGTAATTTTTTTGTTTGCGATTTTCGTTTAAATTTATTTTCAAAACGCTTATTAAAAAAAAAAGTCCGATATTTTTGGACACTTTCTACCACGTCTAGGTAAGTCCAATATAAGTATTATTACCAAGTTTCAAGTCTCTTCATATATTTATAACCGAATTACAGCAAAAAATTCCCAAAAATTAAAATTCCTTAAAAACTCAAAAATGTTGGCGATGATACCATAAGAAAGTAAATAAAAAGGACAACAAAAAAAATTGTCTTGTGATTTTTCGATTAAATTATTTTTTCTGGTAGAAAACGTTTTCCGTATTTTTATAAAATAATAAAATCGTGAAATTGTATGTTTTTCCGCGTTTTTATCCCACTTGAGTGTTTTTATTTAAAAAAATCAAAATCGAAAATCAAAAAAATTACTTGTTTAAAGTACCATCTAAACAACTTGAGCTTTCAGAAAAGTTGTCCCCGCGTAAAAATCGGAACAAGTTTACTAGGAAAAAACGTGTTCACAAACTAGAACAAAGACAAAAAATAACAGCGTTGTAAAACCAATAACTTCTTCTCTACGCTCGGAATCTAAAATGATTATTAGTTATGACAAATTGAAAATATTGTTTTTCCAATAAATTATGGATGATGCGAACTTTCGTCAACGCGGATTATTAATTATAATAATATTGTGTTCTAGAAAATAATACAACGCAGTCATTTGAAATATTATTCTAAAGCAAAACACGATAAATCATTATTGTGTTCCGATGACTATTACATTATTATCATGCTCCAAGATGCGATTTAAAAATTAAAACGCTCGCCTTATAAATTACTTCGTTGCGATCATTCTCGTACGGATTTGCTCGGGTCGTACAGAAAAACAGGCAGTATAAAAAACGAACGAATCTTGGTATATCGCTTATCGATGTCCAAATATCCGTATGATGTTATTTGACATATATTTTTGTGATAATGATAATCACTGTTCATTAGTTATATTATAGAAAACTGCAGTAATAGCTCTCTCGCCCAGTCCGATATCATATGGCGTACAGTAACATATCATAATGAATAAACGTCGAATATACTCTGCGTGTCGGTACACACTGATTGTGCAGTTTCGAGTTGCCGAAAACAACGAACTAAACAATCTGGAAAAGTGTTACGACAAGAAGAAAATATTTCAATAAATGTTTAGACGATTTCAATTTCGATTCCAAGAGACACATCGTAATTCACAAACGCAATACTGTTTGCGCGTAATAATAATTACATTAGAAATGAACTTCGCACCCGTGTATAATTTGTATTCGTTTGAGTATCATTCAACTACAGGGACTTTATATGATATGTACAAAACGTTATTTATCGGTATTCTCGAGCAGAATAATTTGTACCTATTTGTATTCTATTTTATTTTATGTTTATTTTATGTTTAAATATTTTATTGTTTTTCTGAACATTACAATCGATTCATTCGATTATGATAATAATAAAAAAATCTAGCGGTATACCGAAAATTCATTCATTTTTAACACATATTTTATATTTATATTTTTGTTGTCATTATTATTATTTTAAATTCTGAGTATAGCGAATAATCCATTACTTTAACTAAGATCCTATTGAGTGTTTTTCTCAGCAAACACTTTTTCTATAAGTGAGAATACTCCGGTTTTATATTTTTACATTACGTTTTATTTATTGATTTAAAATCAACTTTTTAATACTACAAAACAATTAATACACCTTTTTATTTTTGTAATACTTACAATTTTATTTAAAAATTTGTGTTAATCATTTTTGAATTATTCGACAATTGTATTTTATAAGTTAAAGCCCTTAGAGTGGGGACTTTTAAAACTTCCATTTTTCGTTGTTCTTTTTTAGTGCGTTTTCAGGTGTTTTTTAATGTTTTTAATCGCTTTTTTGTGGATTTTGGATGCATAAAATACCAAGTCCTAATCATAAGAGATAAAAGTCGGACACCAACTGCCTACAGCGCACCCTACCGGGCTGGACATCACTGTTGTAAAAAAGTCATACACCTCTACATAGATGAGAGGGTGTTACTAACAAACTAACACTGTTTTAGTTGTTCACCTTATAAATCCATCGTGGGCCTATCCATAAGTGTCTAATATCTAGTAACTACATTTTCCAAAAATCATATTTAACTATTTCAACGGGGATAAAAAAACTCGTACCCGGGGATTTGAATATCATATTATACAGGCATTCGATATACACACATATACTATTGATATTTAAATTCGTCAAAGAGATTGAAAAATCAGTCGACTTGTTTACGACTTTACGGCACGTCTGTATATAAATATATGTCTATAATATGTACTTTTAACGTGACAACTCGAAATTGGCAATTTCACTACCGGCTTTGTACTATTGCACGCCCGCTTATATCTACAACATCTAATACGTTTTTTTTCCTATTTTCCCCATCCAATGTCACTATACGTATAATAATAATGAAGCGAATAGACTTTTAATTTAAATTTTAAGTGCCGAATTCGATTTATTTTAATCGTTTTTTTTTTTTTTTAGTGATCGACTTTATTCGGCGTACAATTTAAGGGTTTTAATATTTCAATTCAATTTCACGACGAGTAAAACACTATTATCTGGATAATCTGCAGGGCTTTATATTTATAATATATAGCTGTATAGTTGCAGATAGCCAATTTTTTAGACGACGACGAGCTTGTAGACGAATAAGTGTTATAATGTATTTTGATTTTGTTATTTTTAACTGGTTTGTGCTAAGGGATACAGGTTTTAAATTTTAGATGCTTTTGACTTTGGCGAGAGTTTTAGAGGATCGATTTCTTGTTTTTTCGACAATATCATTTGATATATCGTGTATATTTACTAACATAGTTATGTTAACTAATTTATTAATAATTATAAACATGTCTGAATAGTTAATTCAGTTTGTAATACTACCTCGTGTTTACGAAGTGTAGTTATTATAAAACAGTACTCGTTGTTTAAACTAGGTAAGTAAAATGCATAGAATATTATAGTAGTATTACATTGTTCATGAAACAGTAAAAAAAAAAAAAAAAAAAATACAAAAATTAACCAAAAACAAAAGGAGATTAACTATATTATGGGAAATATAATCGTGCAAAACCTTTCATGTTTTTTTTTTTTTTTTTTAATACAGTTGTTTCATTTGTTTTTCTAGTCACATATCTCACGTTGTAACTATATATATATATATATCTACTTATTATTTATGTACTTATAAATATTTATTATTGTATATAATTGAAACACGCAAAAATATCAAATACGCAAGTCAAACAAATTAAAATAATTTAATAATAATAATCGATTCTATATAATTATATAGACATGTATATTGTTTTAAAAAATTAAAACCATTAGTTAAATGTAAAATGCTTAAAATTGAAAAGAGCCAGAATATTTTGAAAAATCAACTACATTTAAAATAGGCTAATATAAGACGTAGTCTGTTAACATTTTAACTGAATAATAATAATTGAAAAAATAACAAAACTGGTATTTACGTAAACTTTCTAGTTTTTCCCAATCATTATGAAAACTATAAGAAAACCGAAAAACAAAAAATTACTTATTCATCAACTGCACCTAAAATAAAAAAATAAGATCTTTCGCTATTTTTCGATTGGAGCAAGTTTTCTTGTAGAAAAGTTGTTTACGGATACAAAAAAAAAAATGAATAAAATTATAAAACACACATCATGGTATAACCAATACGTTCCTCGACTCTGCTCAAAATCTAAAATGTATTTTCATTTCTGACGAGAAAACGAAATATATTTTTTTTTATCTCTAGGATTTTACAATAATAAAATATTATATTTTCTTAGTCTTATGTAACACGAGTACTGAGAAGATTAACACATTGCTCTCGGGTGTCAGTATGTTTATTCGTACGTTTGATTATTTTTAAGTAGTTTATCTAAAAAACAAAATAACGACTTGCCGTGTACCCTTATTATTATGACGACTCGTAATTTTCAACAAAATCGATTCTTTGCAGGTCGGAAAATGTTTCAAAATTATTCTTTAAACCGGCGCTATAATAACCGAATATCAACAAAAATAATTTTTTTTTCCATTTATCATAGGCGTATGCATATACAGTACTTAAAGTATACTTAAATGATATGTAAGTAAATATAAGAACTATATTAAAATGTTCAAAGCATTTTTATCGTTCTTCCTACAATTACCCGCAGTAGTATTTTAACAGTTTAAACACACTTCATTTACTTTTACTGAACAATTGTTCGTTATAATGTTTTGTTTTCTAAACAATAACATGGTCAGTTAAATCATTTTACATATTTCAGTGGTATTATGAGTAGCCTACTTATAATACCAAGTATAACAACGAAATATTGCGCCCGTTGAGAAGCTTTAAAACGTGCTCTTGTGAACTATAACTAATAACGGGAACTCAAGGCTGAAAGATTTGTACAAACTTTACTGTAATATAACAGAAATACAAAAGAAAATAATAATAAGGGTAAAACAGAGGGGCATAAAGGGGTTATGCGAATGGTTAGATCTATGTTGGATTATAAATATAATATGATACGTGTTGTATTATAATAATACTATTTTGTACATTGAACGTAAGATTATGTATACCGCGAGCGCGCAGCGGTCTATCTATCGATAGGATATTCGAGGGCAGTGATGCCACTGTACGCAGTCGGCCGGATATGACCCTGAATAAATCCGTAATGTAATATGTTATAAAATTATAATAGTAAAAAACACGGTTCTTGATTGTCTATTCGTTTGATATTTAACGTATACAAATTATATCTGTGTGAATACGTATTGTATTTGCAAACGGTGGTTATAACCTGCCATTAAGAGAAACCTCATTAAATCCCTGTTAAAATTAAATTCCTTAATTAATTTCATATTATACAAAAATGTGACAGGTATCACTTACCTTAGTAATCTGCTAAAAATGCACAAGAAGATCGTTGATCACAATGTGAGGAACAAAGTATAAAGAGGTATAGTTATCGATGAATCGTGGTTTTTTTTATTTTTTATTTTTTTGAGTAATCCTTATTTAAATAGTTCAGTGAAAACTATTTTTTTTTTTGTAAGTTATCATTGTACTGAGTTTTCTACAATAAAAATAGTTGTAATGGATATTAAAAGTTGAAACAAGAAAAAGACATATCTCTGGTACTCATACCAAGCATGTACAAAATTTCATTTTCATGGCTTTATTTGAAAGTCTGTAGGGGTGTACAATGTTGAGATAATTTGATCCATAGGAAGCCGCTTAACATTCTCCAACATTACTATAAAAGAAGATATATGTATAAAGGTATATAAAACAGATACAAACCAGGTCAATGTCTTTTTTTTTTCAGGGATATTTCGATAACAAACATATACACTTCATATGTTACAGATATAATTGGTGACGAGAGAATATTTTACAAATATAATCATTGCTTAAATCTTGATGGGTTTTCTTCGATTAACTCCATGTCAACAAATATAATGCATTGATACAATTTCAATAACAAATAAGAAAATAACAGAGGCACAGTAAAACAGATAAACATACTTCGCACGATGGATGAACACTGTTATGGGTGAGAAGTTAAGAAGATAGAATATAGAAGAGAATTTAATGGATATCTGTACGCAATGATTAATCATTACTAACAAAAAACGATTCTTAATTCGGTTATATATGCTTAAATGGCCGTAATATTTACGATTTTCATCAAAATTTGATACTAAAATTCTTATAAAAAAAAAATATATATATATATATGTATTAAATTTAATTAACTTAATTTAAACTCAACTTTTCTTGTAAACCACTAAGTACATCATATAATGAACCTCCAGTTAAATTTCCAAGCATTTCTGTTTGATCTAACCATTTTATCCATAAAGTACCTACCGAATAAATATTACGTAAAAAAACTCGTAACATTTTTTTTTTTATATTAAACCTCGGTAACTATGGCCATTGGCATACAAATATTAGTGATTATAAACTATTGATTATATTGGTCTTGATAATGAAGTTGATCATGTGACTTATGTTGTCTGGGTGAAGCACTTCTGCCATAATATTTGATACCCCAACTTCCTGTCTGTCCATTTTAAATGAACGGCATTCGGATACAATGTGATTGATTGAGAGTAGTGTATCACAGCTAGCAGATATGGGTGGGTCTTCCTTCTTCATCAGATACTGGTGGGTTAGCGACGGGTATCCAATTCGTATTCTATTGATTGATGTTTCCATTTTCCTTGAAAGGTTCGGTGGGGAGGGCTATGCAAGGATAGTATTTTTGATTTCGTTTAATTTTGAGGAGCCTTGTTTCCATTCCCGTAGACATAAGTTGGTCGAGATTATTTTTGATATGAATTTAGCGTCGTGTAGGGTAAAACAGTTGAGTATGATAGCATCAGAGGAGGTTATTGCTTGGCGTGCTTTTTCGTCAGCTCTTTCGTTTCCTGAAATTTGGATGTGATTGATTTAGGGATCCATATAAAGATGGTTGAGTAGCCGGAATGAGTAAGGTCGATGAGTTGATTTTGGATTTTCCTGGCGATTTAAAACAAAACCGATAAAAATTGGAGTACGCTTACTAGGAAAAATCGTGTTCACAGACTAAAACAAAGAAATAAAATAACAGCATTGTAAAACCAATAACTCCTTCTCTACGCTCGGAATCTAAAAATTAATATTATATTGTTGAGGAAACTTACAAATTATTACATTCATAACAAACCATCAGGAAAACTGTATTTTATTTTTCTTTTTTCGCATACCTATCCATAGATACACAAAGATTTTGATAAGGGGTTTCGACGAAATCGGACAAAGTGAGCGGGCCAACTTTAGAATTATGAGTACTCGTATCGTATTTTACATAGTACATAGTCATTTTATATATTACACTACAATCTGATGTAAATTTTAATAATCTCATAAATCATTGTTGAATTTGTTGTTTGTTGTTTTTTTTACTTAATATTTATTGGTTTTAGGGTATTTTTGCGCCCCTACCCCCCCCCCCGAGGTATTACACCCGGATAAATTTCGAATAATGTAAAACTACGTATATTAATCTTATTAAAGAATAACACAAAGATGCCATTGAATAAAATATTTCGTTAGATACTTTAATATTATTATCATTCTATCAATGTCAACTTAACCGTAATGGTATTACGAAAGATATAAAAGTTCACATGGATGTGATAGTATCATATTCCTTTCTGAATTTACAATATACATATAAAGGTAATATGTAAAGTACGAATTTCATATTTGTTTGGCATTATACTGGTAAGTTAACGGAACTTGACGGAAAGATTTAAGTAATATTGAAAAAGATAAAAGTATTAAACAAAATATTTCAAAATTATTTTCCGATTGTTCTGCACAGTAGGATTGTCCCTCAGGATTTTAAGGATTTCTGATTGTTGAAAGTGCATATATCCATCACCCACCCTGTCGTAGGCAAACTATTTGACCACCCTGGACAATGGTAGACAAGATTTTCGATTTTTATACTTTAAAATGTGACCTAACCGAAGGTTTCTTTTGTCTTTTAACCCTACCTTTATTCACATCCGACGTGGTTTTTCAGCTACTAAAGGTTTTAAGTTCGCATTTAAAACATTCAATTTTTTGAAGCAGCACCAGGTTTGGAGTTTGAACCAGATTTGTATGGTTCGAAGTCGGGATACCTGGATCTCGATTTTTACATTTTTCTCATCATCCCAGGTCGAGTAGTCTTAAGACGCCTACGATAGTATGATAAAAGTTCAAGACTTATTTCTGTGAAGGTGGCAAATTTTAAGGTAAAAATTGTGTCTTGCAATATTCATTTGGTACGTATAATAGTTTTTCTCTAAAGGGAAAGGCAAATTCCCTCCTGTCAAAATCAAATGAACAATTTCCTTTTGACGTATCTACAGTTACCCAGCAAGAGAGCACGCCGCTGTCTGACGAAAGTCGAATACTACTGAAACCCGATAAACATGCTCTGAAATAGCATAGAATGTATTGGGCATTGCTACATCAACGAACAATAATAAATACACCAACCGGGAAGAAACGTTTTTCATGGCTCGGTAATCATAGCGAACGAGTGTCACTTCTATATTGTTCATTGATAATGTCTAATCGTACTTAATGATGAACTAAATCCAAGGTCTATACACTATTGATCAAGAAAGACTGAGACGAACATGGGCTATTTTACACATTAAAAAACTTTCAAAATCAATACGATTATTAATCAGTTTAATACAGACTCAACACAAAGAGGGAGAAAACTTCAATTAATATAAATAAATATTTAATTTTAATTTTAATAATTGACTGGTTATATTTTTAATACTATTTAAATTATCAACCATATATTTTAATCGTCATGTTGTTATAAAGTCTTTAGGTATACTGACATAACATAAAGTATATCCACCTCTCCCAACCATACAAATTACCCAAAATACGCCTTTTATTAATTTTTAATTAGACTTCACGTAACGATGTCGGATCATAATGAGGTGCCGTCTCGAATCGAAGCGAAATTCATTATAGATATTATTATTATCGTTGAACACACGAAATAAACCAGGTGATCAATTTAAGTGGATACACTCATTATCTTATTATTAAGTATTAACTTTTTCCGAAATTTGTTTTCTTGAACATTTAAGAAACAAGCTGCTCTACAATTTTTTTTTTTATGTTATTTTTCGTCATCCTTATTTTTGAGGGTAAAACCACGACCTACTTTTGATTTGAAAATGGAAAACTATATTAAAAATATCTACTCTCCTCCAACCCAAACATACAAGTAAAATATCTCATCATTTACGAAAATCAAAAATGTCAACACTAAAATGTATTTTAACTAATACTATTTATGGAATTTAATCACCTGGTACATTTATACATTATTATTATTTTATACGCAACTATATAAAAAAGATAACCGAATCAAATTTGTCAATATTACAATACACATTATGATACATATAATATATATATCAAGTTATTTCGATGACTTTGGACTTGGATTTCGTACAAAACTCCCACTTGATTTTTAAACCAAAAATTGAGGATGTTACACCCACGCTCACACGCGCGTGCGCGCAAACTCTCAAGCCTCGTTCCGTTTTATAGTATAATAAAGGCATATTTGATAATATGTCGTTTATTATACGTCATTCTTAAAAATACACGTACACGCTTTGTTAGTTGCATAATTATTACACTCGATTTGATACACGCGCTCCTCGTATTTGGCAAAAAAAACTGCTCAGAAAATCATAAATATTGCTCACTACCTACAACCAGTCGTAATTATTATTATATGGTAATTAATTTTATGTAAGTAAAAATATGAATAATTATTATTATACATGCGCCGTCGCTCATTTTGCTACGTACAATGGGAAAAATCCAAATAAAATAAATATGTATAATAAACACGGTTTTAAAATTATTGTTTCTCACCACTTGGTTTTTGTATAGTTATTGTTGATTTTTACGTTGAACGAAACCGGATATAATAGGTATTGTAGCAAAAAACTGAGCGTCTACGGTCGACAAAATACTATTTAAAAATTATATAATAAGAAATAGTAATAGCAGTGTATTACGCTAAATTTGTTTTCTATTATTATTCATAGTGCGAATTATGATGAATCTCGAGGAAAATATTCATATATTTATATTCGACCAATACAATTAATTTAAATAATGGTTTTGTGTGGAACAAATTGATAAAAACTAAATAAAAACTTTTATACAGGTGTCCCACGAACATATTCCCACTGCAATATCTCCTGAGGTAATAAAAATAGTCAAATTCTGTTATTTTATTTTTTATATAAAATATATATTATCACTCTCAGGAATAAGGGCTATAAATATGTATGTTACAATTAATTGTAACTTTTTATTTTTGAAGATTTTGAAGATTTTCGATTTTAAGGCTATACATTTATATATTTCGCACCGATACGCAGCCACATTCTTACGGAGATCTTATTTAAAAGTATAGCAAATGTTTTATTTGTTTAATAAAGTATAACACCCTACCCCCAAAAAAAAAAAAAACACTTTTATAAAACATCACCTGTTTCCGGTTTTTTTTTCGATTTTGTAGCGAGAAATATATTGGTTTAATTACTAGGGGTCATACATATTCCTTAAATTAGTTTGAAATTTGTGAATATAATACATTGAGCTCTTTCCCTGCAAGTGTCTAATGGTGGTGAGGGAAATGGTCGGTTTCAAGGAGATACCCATAGTTACATTTTATAATATGTTCCCCTCCCTCCGAGTGAAAAACAGTTCCTGCTCCACTGCCAATAGCCATTAGATCTGTATTCTATAGTTTAAGGGTGATAACGATTGTATTTCATATTTACTACAGTCATCGTTAAACGTATTTGTACTTCGTATTATTTACTCGTTGAGATTTGGTGTATTCTATATAGGTAGTTAGTATTTATTTCAATAAAACTTTTAAAGTATTTTGTTTATCTATGATTTTACATGGGAGAAAACGAGAATTTTATAGCCCGGTAATCCGGTATGTAACTATAATCGAGTATTAAGTATAGACACCAGTCGGCCAAGTACAGTTAAGATATAATATAATTTATACAAGTTTAACGATAATTTTAAAGTCGGTTTCATAGCAATACCGATAATAATTAGTTCATTTTGGTTATAGTCGGTATAATTACACAGATTATGCTCTCGAAGACACTCTTTGAAAGTAATCGGAAATTAGTCGGTCTTGATTTCGACAAGACATGGTAAGGTATTATTATTATTATTATTGTTATTCTTTTTTCTTTTTTTTTTTCTTTTTTTTTTGATATTTTGGCAATCGGCCGAGCGAATACACCATTGTGAACAGAGTCCGCACAGTCACGGGTGTCCAACGAGCGAACTAATCATCCGATCCAACGTTCCTATAAAATCACAATAATCAACCGTTTTTTGTGCCACAGAATCTTGTAATTTTTAAATGCAATAAAATGTCTGTCTCTATAATAAATTTACGATATAATTTATCCGAGACGCATGACCTAAAAATGTGTATAAAATATACGATCGACAATAATCGTATCAAGCCCATCATAAAACTGTAAAATATTACGGTCGTATATTTTTTTCTTCATGCTTCTTAATTAAACTAATAGTTCAATTAATTACGATTTGAGTTTCACATTAAGTTATTATATTAAAGTAATATTTTATAAATATTCTTAGGAATTTTATTATTAATATCTACATATATTTTTTACGAGTGTTTTAATTTTAAGTATTATGACGTTAACCATATTAAAAATATTGTGATTTTCACGAATATCGACGATATTATAGTTTTGAATTTATGTCCATTGCATATAATATATATATATATATCATATATGACTTGATATTTGTACACAAGGTCAGTAATATTAATAATTAAAAACTATGAATTATAATATAGCTATGATATTACTATAGGTATGTATTTTGAAAATAAATATCACTATATCGTTTTTACTCGTTGCAACTTTTACGATTTTCCGAATAAATTTCGGCTCGTAAATTCGCTATAATGTAAAATATTCTCCATAACTAGTTTTTGAACGAATAAAAACACGTGTAGTTATTATCAATATTAAAATCATAGTTTCGGCGTCGAATCGTTTTAAATTAAAATATTATAGTGTAATAGCTAATAACATTTTGAGATTCTGAACAAAGCGAGGAATATAATTATTATTATAGGTACGGGCCGATATCATTTTTACCAATATCTGTTATTCTGACAATATATGCTTGTATGCAACCGATATTCGATATTTGCAATCGAGAAATCATTAACCGATATAGAGTTTTTAATTTGAATTTTTAAACAAAGGAGAAGAAAGAAAAAAACGTTTAAAATGGAATTTAGTGATAGGATTTGTTAAAAATATTAACAATCACATAATTTAGGAGGGCAAAGCTTCCCCAACTTCTCGCCTATAACAGCGTCCGTGACATGTTTTGAAAAATAAATAAATTACTCCTAGAATATTCAAATCATACGTGATTGAAACAAATATTGTGTTAAAATATCGAATTAGATAAATTTCATAACGTGATTTACAATAATAACCTTACCTAACTTATTGTAATATGGGTATTACTTGTTCTTTAAATAGTATTTTCGTTGAGTTATCGTTGACAATTTGGTTATTCGATTTAGTAAATAGCTCGTCTGTAAAAAGCTAGTCATCCGTAATAGACGTTGAACTGTGTGTGTATATCTGTTAAAAACTAGTAAAATTCAATATTGTGAAACGAAGGGAGAAAATGTCTCGAGTTTTTTTTTTTTTATTATTATTATTAAATCATATAAGATTTTGATCACAAAAAACTAAAAGGCCCGGGATTAGATTACGGATTATTGAATTACTGAAAACTTTACAGTGAATCCGTGAGTTAGTTTTTATATACAAGTATTTTTTTAAATTCCAAATAAAATTTTCATTGATGTATATTATACCTACTGGTGCGATGTAAAATTTGATTAAGAATAAAATCAATTCCGACAATTCGCATAGGTATATTTTAATAGTATACGGAAACTACAGCTGAGTTCATCTTGCAAGACGAAAGATTATACACTTTAATATTCTGAGTGTAATGAGGAATGTATTGGTTCACAATTATGTTAATAATTTTCTACCAGTAATTTTGCTCCAATTTAAAAGGAAGCACTTTTTCTGAAAGGAAATCGGACTAGAAGGGGGAAGGTTTAGGGTATCATTTTTTGATTTTCCCAAAAGTTTTTCCAATGAATGGGAAAAACCGGGAAAACGATAAAATGTACGAAATGTATGCACCCATTAGTTAAAAAATATTACAGTCTTTTTTTTTCTTGTGAACAAATTTTCTAACAGCAAAAACGGGAAAATAGGTACAACATTAAATAAATATTACTAAAGAAAATATATAATTCATATGTAATTATTTTACCATACGTGATATATATATTTTTGATTTGTTGATAAAGCAACACTATCTATCAAATTCCGCTTAGAATCGTTTTTTCGTTAGCAATAGTTAATCGTTGTGTTCTTTATAGATATACATAGATATACATTAAATTTCCCCTCTACTACCTTCCCAACTTCTTACCTATAACAGTGACTGTACCCGTCTCCATTATCCTTTTAAGCTTTTTACGTTTTTTTTTTTTTAGAATATACATATAATTATTTATAAATATAATAAAATTTCGTGTTATCTTCTAACTTTACTACACCATTAATTAGTGTTTTCGAAATTCACAGTAAAATTATGTATTGGTTTAGGGTAGGTATCGGTGGAATACCTAGGAGGGGATAAGAGGATTTCAGTCCCCTTCGTTAGCAATGCAAAATAATAAAATAACTATTCAGTATTAAAAACTTATTAACTTATTATACTTATAAACGTACGTCATGCGTATTCAATTACAAAGAAAGATGATAATTATTGTATTATAGAATTATTTATTTTGCAATTTTTTTTAGTCTAGGTTAGAATAGGACATTATTGTATACAACACAAATAAGAATTATTATGTTGATCAAAAATAAGTTTAAAATGGCCACGTGCGAATTATGTCCATCATTTTATTCTATAAGAATATAAGTATTATATTTTGACGAAAATCTTAAATATTACGGAGTTTTAAACATGTATGTATAACCGAACTCCGCTCAGTATTGTTTTTCGTTAGCAAACATTAATAATTGCTGTTGTGTACAGATATACATTATATTCCCCTCTATATCCTACCTTTCCAACTTCTCATCTACAACAGTAGCCCAACCATCGTTCAAAATATGTCCGTCTTTTTCATTATGTTTCAGTTCCTACAGTAAACTTCAATAAATAATTAAAAATTTTATTCTAACAAATAAACCAAAAAATTGTTTTAAAATATTTAAGTCACTCACGATTTGAATTTATTGCTTATAAATATGTATTATATTACCTTTTGCACATTTAAGCTAAATTTTACTATAATTAATAATTTATGACAAATTCCAATCAAATGTACAACTTTAAGTTAGGTTATTTTCTTATAGTTTTCAAATTGAAAATGGTAGTTTTCTTTTACTTTTGGAGAAACGTTGAATATTATATTATGTAGTATAGAAATATGGATAAGAATAATTTAATGTTTTTTCTCGTGCAAGTTTTGATATTATCCTATTGAATATACATTTAAATACAGTATTAATATTATACATGTACTTATAATAAATTTCATCAGCCTCTTACTTTTTTTTTTAAGATTTGTAGAGGAGGCATTGCTCCAATGACCTCCGCTTGTATCTGCACCCGTCAGAGTCAAATATAAATTTTAAATATTCTTGGTTCCACCCGTTAGCCATCGTTCTCAGAAATCACTCGACCCTATCCGCGCTATATGTAGATGTTTGTATGATAATTTATTAATGATGCTTTTTAAAATTTTAAATTTAATAGGCGTTTTATCTGTAATATAATTATTATTTTTGGTGAACTATTTAATTAACGTGTTTTTTTTTTTATTTGGTTTACTCATTATATAATTTAATTCGGTTCGTTATATTTCGATATTATACCGAAATAACGTAACTGTTTTTAGTTATTTCAAACACATGGTCCGATGATTTTTTTTTAATTTGCATAATTTTGATATAACAATATAATATCACAAATGTAAAAAAAAAAATGTGTACACATATTTCATACGACATGTTTATAATTTATACAAAATTATATTATTGTTCTTCTACAAGTATTTTTTTTTTTTTTTTTTTTTCTATAAATCAATAAGGTTTGACGAGGTTAATATTCTGCAGAACTTGCGTTAATAAGTAATTATGCAAATATAAATTATATTTAATTTCTATCAAATTTTACACATTTGGTCTAAACAACAATATTTTCTAATTTGATCAATATTTCGTTGTACAGATGAAAAAACAAATCACTTATTATAAAGTAAAAAAAAAAATTGATTTTACCTAGCTTTTTTTCGGTAAAACGAATAACATGTTATGATTTTACAGAGTTTACTCTTAAATTTTGGATGAAATATCGATGTAAGGACGAGGGGGAGGTATCTTGTTATTTTATCCGAGATTTATATGTTTAAAATTAAAAGGCTGAAATGGGTCTGGCATGACTGTACCGAGGGCTGGTGGAAGTGTCACGAATATATAACAATGATATAGTCAGGTATACAATAGTTATAGGAACAAGACCAAGGGGAATATCGGGAAGGAGATACGGAAACACAGCGTTAAGAGACCATCACAGTAGAATTAACTGTCCGTTTCTTCCAACGGACAATATTTCAAAAATCTATACACGCTTAACAAACAAAAAGGCCATTAAAATAGATTTAAAAAAAAAAAAAAAACACTTATTATACCAACTATAGAGTATAGTTTCAACGTTAATCTTGTACAATTCATAGAGCATTGATATCATTATCAAACGTATATCGTATTTTACTAAATTTTGTTTTTTAATTTCTATACTTTTTTAAACAATTCAAAAAAAACATCGATGTGATATGTGATCTTTAAAATGTAAAAAACATTTTACAAGTGTTAAAATAAATGTTTAATATCTATAAACGATATGTAGGGTTTTATAAAAGACTAATTAGTTTGGTTTACGTGAACACAGTTGTGTTACATTTTCTGTTAGAAAAACAGAGATGACAAATTTTACTGCAACTATTATAAATTAATGAAGAATGTGATTTTTTTTTTTTTTAGTCAAGGTTTTAACTTTTAAAATATTTTAATGCATTCGTTGACAATGTTTTTAGATGACTAAAGAAATCGCTTAACTACACTCAGATATTACGTACCCATTTTTTTTGGAAATTCCGTGACATTACACAGTTTGTACGTAAGTACAAGTGTATTTATTTATTTCAGACCACGAATTCAGTCTAAAACGTCTTATTCGAGCGTAAATTTAAGCATTCCCTTTCCCCTTAAATTGTTATCAAGCTATTCGAGCAGCAGATTGCTGGAAAAGTGTTAAGGGGCAGGTCGTTAAAGAATGAAAAAAAAAATACCTCTATTTATATATATATATATTATTTTTATTATTATTTCAACACATATTGCGTAAACAAGGTGTGTGTAACAGTATCATAAGGCGGTTCGTCGCACTACATGAAACGCGATCGCGTTCTAACACACAACGTTGATAATAGATAGAAATAAAAATCGCGCGGTGTGGGCGTGACGAATCATCGCTGTTGGTGCGTCCCCGTAAGAAGCATAAAAACAACCCGTAACGTTGTTATGCCGCCGAAGTTTCCAAAATATAGACAACAAATCAGTCTTATCCTATTGGTGGTCAACAATGCGACCGCGTTATGACCGGGTACCGGGGCGTCCGGTTTACGCGTCTTCAGTTCGTTGGCGGTGACGGTACGAGACGCTCCGAGTCGGTGAATTATCATTGTGATATTTATGTTTTTTTTTTTTTTCTTGTCGATTATCCGTGCATCGTTAGACCGCGCGAGTCACTTAAATTCCGTTCGAGTATGTTTATGTAACAGCCACCGCGGATTTGTCTGCGGGTATCAGTTGCAGCAGACCGTCTTGTACGAACGCCTATGACGTACGAACAATCACGCGATACATTATTAAAGTCACCGTTTCGATATTAAAATGTTGTAAAAAAAAAAAAAAACAAAAACAAAAGACAACCGAGCATACTCCGCACGATAGATGAGCCACTGTTGTACAGGTGAGGAGCTAGGAAGGAAGAGGGGAAATGTGTACGCAACGATGCTAACGAAAAACGATTCTGAGCAGAGTTCGATTGTACGTGTTTTGAAAGGCCGTAATATTATTTACGATTTGAATATGATAGATTTCGTACATTTTCCTGTTTTTCTATGTTTCTTCTCAATTATTATTTATGGAAAATTAAAAAATGACCTCTTTAGAGTACTACCTAAATCAAATTTCTTTTCAGAAAAGACACTACACTTGAAAATCGAAGCAAAATTTTTGGTAGAAATAAAGTCGTGCATAGAAAACAAATAAAATGTAAACATTATTGTATATACATATAAAATAAAATGAAGATACGCGTATTTTAATTACAGCTTAATTGCTTTTGATTTCAACCATTAACAATACTTGTTAAGAAATTTAAATTTAAAAAAAAAATCTTTCATATAATCCACATTAAATATTATATACTCTACTTTATAAAATGTATAGTAGATTCCTTTGCCCAATACTCAATGATAGTAATCTTGGCGCAATCTTGGAAATGCGGAATGACGTTGTTGCCATATTTCACGCGCAAGAGACAGACAGAGAAAACATATTATGTCAGTGACGATACCCATTAAGTAGACACGTAATATTTATACAAATACAATTACATACTTAGGAAAATGATTATTTAATAAGAAGTCAAACGAAACCATAAAATCGTATAAAAATAATATTATACAGCCGCCCAGTAGGTACTTATACATTGTATTTGTTTTGCAATTGCCAGTTGGCCCGTATTCTATATTGAAGTTTTATTAGTTAGGTACGGTGATTTTGTTGATTTTAAAATTTAGTTGTCAATTTTAAAAATTAATAGACATATTGTTATTGTCTTATGGATTTTTATTTTAATGATATCGAATATTTATCATTCATAGTATCTTAATCTAATAGGAGTCTGGCGTTGTCTTATTTCAAAAATAAACAACAAAAAAAAAATAATCGCTTGTTGCTGACTTTCAATTGCCGATTATACCGAAAAACCGATTGATTTGATACATGCAAATAAGGACCTTAGCGGATTTTCGGGTAAAGGACGGATTTTGAGTTTTGAAAGGTATTTATATCATTTTGTTCAAAAACAGAACTTACGAGTTATGATCTTAATATGTTGATACTCGTTGAATCAGAAAAAGGCAATGCGTTTTACGGCTTTTTTGTTTTTTGTTTTATACTTTCTAAATGACAAAGAATTAGGAGGTTTTATTTTTAATTTTTTCAAAATGGCATTTGCACGATTAGAGTCCTTTTTTCATGGACAAAATCAATTATTATGGATTATACTTTAATCCACGTCGGCAGCGTTCGCTTTCAGCTTATGATCGGCAATCAGCCTAGGATAAAGAATTGTTGGAAAAAAGTGTGCTATATTATTTAGTTTTATAAAAAATACTTCTTAAAATGTATTTAAATACAGATACAAATACATAGGTACATTCAGAAAGTATTTGACTTAATAATAATTAATTTAAGAAGGTTTACAAAATTAATTTTGAAATGTCTAGCATAAAATTCAATATTGAACTATTTAACTACCTACCCCTATTATTAGAACTTTGTACCGTCTACTTCATTTTATATTGATAAATGAAAATAGATAAATAAAATTTCGATGTATATTCTGAAATAATTTAATACTTTGAAATTTGAATGAATTAAACGAATTATAAATTCACCATTCCCAGAATTGTGTATTTCGCTCGTTTTTTCTATCGGTCGACAGTTAGGATAATTTATTATCTCCTGAAAAGTATTGACTTTTTAAATTTTCGATGAAATTGAATGAGAATCTTGAATAATAATCTACTAAACTACTGTTATTTTTTTTTATTTATTCCACATACTTTATTTAAGGTTATAACATGTGTCGGAAGTAGGGAGTTTTTGTACAGAACACAAAATTATACGTTTAATAATGAATAACAATTAATTAAATGTATGCATTACTACTCTACTGAGAATCATTTTTTTTTTCATTTGCGACGATTTATCGTTGTATGCCTAAGTACAGGAATAAAAACTATATCTTTTTTCTCATTATTAATATGCAAATATGTCTAGACAAAATTTCAAAACTACGTGTTATTCAAACACCTGTTACATATGCTTTTCGCTTATTCATACATAATAATATATTATAATATTACTATGGTAATTTATTTCCGATTGTATCCGAATTGGGTCCCGGATTCGTATGATTTTGATAGGTAGTACACTGGTTGGCTCCCAGTGAATTGCAGGTACTATACAAGTGGGACCCGGCTATCGGCAGGTTATATACTAGTTGGCAGTTGTGCCTTCACTTCTTATCAAGTAGTGCAATTGCGCGGGTGCTCAGGGGTGGTGGATAATAGATAAGAATTGTTAATTGACACCTAAAAATTACAAATTATAGCCTTAATTCATATTAGAATAATCCAATTTATAAGTTTGTTAATTATTTGTGAACCGCCAACACGGTTAGCAGGAAATGTTTAGGCACCAATGCTTGTTGGGTTGAAACGTTTACAAGCAGTACAAAAAATGCTCCTTCTCATTTTTATAGACTTAGGACTGTCAGTGATTTATATTTTAAAATAAAATACAGGTATGATTAAAAATGTATTGTTTTGCCAGACGAATTAATATTTCTGAAAACATTCAGAAGGTGGTCTCCGATTGTCATTTTTGATTATTATACCTAGATAATGGTTTTGCCATCAAACATATGAGAGGCCATAGTTGAAGACAAATCTTTCTATACGTATCGAAATGCAATTTTTAAGGTCAGTATATTATAAATAATATGCCGTTTTCGAATATTATTATGGCAACAAATCAATTTACATAAGGCGTACTGCGTGATCGCAAATATGTGAAATAGTATAATTAGGTAAATAATGCTATTGGCGTTTTTATACGGGAATCACCATCTTTAAATAAAGTTTTTCAGATGGACACTATTGTGACACTGTTGTTATTATTAATTCACTACGTATACCTATAGTTTCTGTTTGTTCACATCTGCTTAGAATATTTTAATTCGGATAAGAGTTGGAACAACCGGTTTTTCCTATTATAAATACATGCAATATTTGCTTTTTTATTTGTTTAATAGAAATTTACATTTTGTTTTGTAGATAATAACCGGGTGTAAACGACAAATGTATTTTTTCGGCATATCGAATACTTTGACATGAGAAATTAACACTATGGCCATTATCAATGAAACGACGTCTTGGTCACCGCCACAGGAGGAAGTAAGATTTTTTTAATAACATTTTTTTTCGTAACGAATCTTTTGAAAATAATAAATTGTTAAATTATTGATCACCACTTGATTTTCGGTCACTACAGTAGAATATTCCTTTCGTTTAAACGTGACAGTGACTAAACATATAGATTGTAGATGAAACCAATCTCTATTACACTACAGTCTAAAAATATATTAATCATTACAGCATTAGGATGCATTTAGATGTATTATAAAATTCAGTTGTCTATATGCTGATACAAATCCTTCTGAATCCGGACTGTCGTAAAAAGAAAAAATACACGGGTACACTAGAATAAAGATCAAAAACGAGCTCCGTGGGCTGACAATCTGATTGGAATTTCAGTTGCCAGACCATTGCTTTACTGTATATATTATACTAAGCCATCCGACCGACGGACATATATTTTATCGAAGATTTCCATGTCGTTAAACTGATTGTTAACAAATATATAGGACATATAGTGTCACTGTACTTATTTATCGTCATCCATAACCTGTTTGGTAGTTTTTCGAAAAATCACCCATATCGACAACTCGGGACGTTTATAAATAATGTGTAAAGAATTTGACGGATCAAAAGTCATATGGAAAGTTTCGAAGCTTTTGGCGGGGACTATACGCAGATATGATGATGATAACAAAATATATGGTAGTGTCTTCTTCACTTTGCAATTTATAAATATAAACACCAGAGGTTTAACGCGAAAAATGTATTATAATCCGCGAACACATAGCGAATTGTAACGTGCCGCGTACGTCTCGCTGACCCTCGCCTCCTGGTATTTGGAAATAATAATTTTCTTTTACTCCAATATTTAGTATGCATTTGTATGACCGTTCACGTAATTTAAAAGACATTTTTTATTACAATAAGCCAACTTTAAAAAAAAAAAGGAGAATGGAAAAACGTCTCGCTATCTTTTTCCTTCCATCAAATGGAAATATATGGATAAACGATAATGCGCAATTTACATGTAATTGATAAATCCCAAAATCCCTACTATTCTCCTTCTCAGTCAAAAATCGATAACAAACTATTTATCACCTCGCCGACAAACAGATATTAAAACATTTTAATAACAAAATTAATAAATTGCACAATACCGTTGAAGCGATCAATACTCAAAAATAAAAACTAAAATAAATAATATAAATATAAAATATATATATATATTATATATTTGCATATATTTAATAAATGCGTAGGCGTCTAAATCAAGACATACATTATGTAGACGAAATCGTATACTTAAGGAACAAAACCTCAAGAGCATTCAAGAAATCAAATAACACATATAGTGCCAATAGCCGCTTTTAGTAGATAATTATAGAAAATAATTAATTGAAATATTCATTTCAAAAAAGGTATATTCCTAATAAATGAAACTTATTAAAACAATATTTCGAAACGTAAAAACATATGATTATGAATAGTAGGCAGGCGCGTTCTGGGTTCTAATTTTTGTACCGAGAAATGATTACATATGACCTACTTATAAACATGAATCATTAACATTCATCAAGTAGTAGCCTACTAACCTAAAAAATCACAAAGCTACAATAGATAATTTAAAGAAATATGAATAGAAAAACGTGTATAAATCAGGAAGGGCCCACCGGAAAATGCTCGGTACTCCGATGGGCCAGTAAGTGCCTGATCGTGGATGAATTTAATCATTAATTAAAAATAACAAAATTAGAAATTATTGAGATGTGGTGCTAAAGATAAGTTGATTTAGTGGAAAACAAAAGTGTTTGTTTTGAAGAGATACAAGAAATTGTTAAAGAAATCTGTACGAATGCTGTGAGGGCAAGATGTTGGAAAATGGTTGGACATGCTTTGGAAAACTTTAAAGATTTAGCTCATTTTTAATAATATAGAGAATACGATTGAAGGGAAGACTATATACGAAGTTTCACAATATGAACATAACATTACGCCATTGCGCGTTGATCCCTAAAAATATTGCAATAAAAAAAAAACACTGGCGAGCAGACCCATCACTAGAATTTAATTTCATCCCGTCTATTCTAAATAATGTAAATATTCTGTACTAAAACAATAAATACCGAATGCTATCATAACACTATCATTAATATACTATAATACTATAAGTAACTATAATACTATAGTTATTATACGACTTTAAAAAAAAATGAATTATAAAAATGATGGGCGGGTTAAAAGTTCAAACTTCCAAAAGACACATCCTTGATACTATATAACGATATGCATTGACAAAATATCATCTCTTGACTTCATTTGAGGAATCTTTAGGGATGAACAAAGATGAAAAATACTCTCCGCCTGCAACAACATGGTTTAATTCATATTTAAATTTAAATGAACTTTTATTACAGCCCCCACTAGAAATGTTCAAAAGTAATTGTAAAAAGATATAATTTGTAAACTATATTGAACTCTTACTTGCAGGTATACCTATTGTTATTTTTTGACCTTTTTTTAAAATTATTCAGAAATGCTGGTCTTTTTACGAGTTCAGACCAGACAATTGGACCGGTTGCAACGCATCGTCAGACACGTTGATGTGTTGGCCCGCCACACTAGCCAACACAACAATCTCCCAACCATGTTTCAAAGAGTTGAATGGAATATTATATGACTCTTCTAGTAAGTAACTATATAATGTCTAAATATTAATATTAAATAAAATTAATAAATAAATTAAGTACCTAATTAAGATAAACAAATCGGAAACCTTTAAAAACATTGTCAGTGATACCACATCCAATCAACCTAAAGAGTGACTTTGGGTTTCTGTGCTATGGACATTTTGTAAAACAAAAAACAGCAATTCTGAGTATCTACGTGACAGGCTTGCGAAAAAACAAAACACGACAAAATGTACAAATACTCCGTATGCTTAAACATTTTCGTACTCCTTGTGAAAATTTTTAATTCTGATATAATTACCCCTGAGCCCATCCCAGCCCTACCTTAACAGATTACAATTTTTCAGCATGCATTTAGTATACATTTCACAGCACCAAAGTTCAAATAATATGTGAAAACCCAGAGAGCTGGTGTCATTTTTTTTCGCCGTCGACATATTCAACTAATAATAATAATGATTTTATTTGGTCAGAAAACAGTTAAAATCTCCTAAGATAATAATAATAATACCTAATATATATTATGAATATTACACGTTATATTATAATTTATAATTTATAATTGGTTTTACTAGTGATTTGGGCCAAAAAAAAAAATCAAATTTCGCCATATGTATTCAATATCCATAATTTAATTAGTTATTTATATTTTATATTAATTTTAATTTTATTATAAATAACATTATTTGTATTTCTTTTCGATAATCTGGTCGATAATAGACAGTTGCACGGTGGTTCATCTACGCGATTTGGTCTTTGTTAAATACAGATTTTTAAATAATATATTAAATCACCCGCATACCTATACTGTTCGTGAAATTTATAAATTATAATATTAATATCAGCTATTAAAAACGACTGTTTAATTAAAATATATCTGGGACTCGGTGCAAGAAGGGCCTATGTCTGACAAAAAAAAAAATGTATTACAATAATTATTATAACTTAACGTTAGATTTTCGGAAATAAATAATTTTTTTTCAGTTTTTCAAATACATTTTTTGAACATTAGCTCCTTTCAACCAAGCCACACATATCTAGGTGTGTATTACATAAACGCCTATATAATATTATGATGTAAACAGAAATAGCAGCTTGGTTAAAATGAGACACCACCAGTCGATGCGGTAAAATAATAATTCCTTTGAGGTACCTTTTATTATATAGTACAATATTCGTTTCTGCAGGTGAGGAGCTTATATTAGTTTATTACATAGATAGGCAGGTAGGTACTATATAATAACACGCTGTGGTGTTTAATTTGATTGTGGTAATATATTGCGCTGTGAATTCGTTCAATAAAAAGTAAACTTATACTTTGAAAACTTGATATTACATTAAAATTAAATCTGCAGCTGCAGGATATTAATAATATTATCCTGTCCTATTAACAAGCCGCGACGACATCGCGCGAATTCGCAAATTATTACCGCGTAAAACTCTTATTGGATTCGTGAATAGATAATATTTTTAATTTTACCGTTTTCAATGGATGATCGCGTGATTGTCTTCCGGGCAAAACGTCAATGGTATAAATTAAATACATTACAAATGTAAAATATAAATTAAATACTGTTCTATTTTGCTAAATTTAAATTTAAATTTTCAACTATTATAATGTAATTTACGATGTTTCGTTATTTTCGTCAAAATTGTTCGAACAGTTATTAAGAATAAAAATACAAATACCTTTGAACAACATATCTCTGTTACTAGGACTGGATTTCCCCCTCCCTCCGTCTTTTTTTTACTATAGTAATATTCTTCGTAAAACAATAAATAACCAAATTACCGAATAACCAAATAACATTACAATAATATTATAGTATTATCTTAAGACTATACTACTTCCAAAAAAATTAGAAGAGTTTTGGGGGTTAAAATTGTCGAAAGTTGAAACCTCCAAAAGGCACATCTTCGACATTCATGCAACACAACACAATGTATATCAGACACGATACAGTGCAATAGTCTCAATTTTTGGAGAAAATTCGACAAAATAGATTGAATTTAAATAAAAATAAAAGTCTAGTGTTTTAATCACATTATTGCGGTGACATGCATTGTGATAAAGATCCATAAAACCCATAACACATCAGTAATAATATTCTATTAAAATGATAACAGACCGTAATTTATCTTTGACGTAGTTACTGCAAATTAAAAAAACTACATTGAGGACGTTCCAAGAAATATAATGCTATTCTCACGTTTTATCATGTAAATTTTCGTTGGTGTTATTGTTTATCAGCAGGTACATATCAGTAGAGCGAACTAGTTTCATTATATTTTCTTCTCGTAATTAAAAAAGCAACTTCCATTAATCAAAAAAATATTATTATTTATTCATAGAAAATAATATTACACGATGGTCGTATATTTAGCCAAACGCGAATAATTAAAAACACACAAACAAATTAATATATTTTAAAAATTATGATATACTTATACAATTGCGAAATTGTTTGAATTTATTTTTCCCACATGTGCTATTAATATTCAACCTAAAAATATGGATAATCTAGGATAAAGAATTGAAATTCCTTAATACTGAATTACATTCCGTTTCTTGGTCATTATAGTGTTATGCGTTTCGGGGAAAAAAATAGAACAGTTAATACACCATCATTCCACCATCGTGATAATTATGATAAATTTAACCAATAATAAAACAATATAACAGGCGATTTGGTATAAATTGAGTACTATTGAAAAGCGTTCGTAGTGGTTGTGAAAACAAACATCCGCTAGAGATTTTGATCAGATTCTAAGAGTTTCTTGCAACTATTTTCAAATATGTTTTATTGTACATATTATATGAATAAATAAATAATAAGATGGTTTATTAAAACAATACGATAAAATTTAGATGATTAACAAATGAGAGGCGTCTATTTTCGAAATCAACTATTATAGTATAATAAGCAAACATTTTTAAAATGAGTGTTGAAATAGCCACACAACAAAAAGCCTCTTCAAAATTACTACCTAATGATTTGTATTTCAGAGTTATAAGTTTGAAATAATAAATTCGTTTTAAAAGTCGACTATCGGACGAATTTTACAACAAAACCAGTTAAAATCAAAATTCTATGTAACAATATTTATATAAAATATGCACCATGTGCAATATGTGCATGCACTCCAAAATAATGATTTCACATTGGTTACAAAAGTATAAAGTACACTACATATTTTCTTTCATTGTCATTTGTTATCCACAAATTCGAAACAGAAAAATATGCTTAAATATTAACGTTAAACTCTAGGCCACGGATTAATAATAATCGTGAGATGCAGCGTGACCAGTGGTTGTACCATGCAAATACTGCACCATACAACTCGCTCCAGTAATATAGAGTTGTTTTGGCCTAAATTCTAAAATTTTACGAGTGGATATTAGATGGTAATGTATCTATGATTCACAAAATAGAATTAAAGATTTCGTTTCGAAATTAGAGAACACACACATAAGCGCAACTAGAGGGGGGGGGTACATACTAGTAGGACTTCGACATCCCCATAAACCCTAACTGTAATTTTATACTTTTACGTTATTAGGATCCTCCACCTGGGGCATTAACAATTTTAACACTCCCTAAAATTTAGGTATAATTAGATATACAATAATTTAATAGTGAATACACTATTTACACTGCACAGGTATGAATATGGCATTGAAAAGCAAACAAACCGGACATTCGGCAATAAAAACGCAACCTTTTCTCACGTCAAAACTATTTCCACCATATTATATCTAATAAAACAATGATATTATTTATATTCAATGTTTCAATATGACTAGTAAAATTAAAGCTAATGAGTTGTCTTGGTAAAACCTCATTGAAATTAAGTCATTCGCGCATATGTATAACTGTTGATTATATTATAATATAGATTCAACAATTATTGTAAAATCACTATACTTTTTATTTCTCTCTTTATTTCCTTTTGAACTTAAAACATATATATACAGAGTGAATTTTTTTATCATGAACCAGCAATTATCTCAAAGGATTTTAAGTGAATTTGATTTCTGTTTTTTCTAATCATTATGGTTAATGGATAAAGGGTAATAAATTGCCTATCTATGACCCTTCTCTACTCATCCGATCTAAACTTTAACTTGTTATAACTCATAAACGGTAAATCTAATATTAGTGTTATGTATATCAAAATATCTAGAAAAATATTCTCTATTCAAATCTGTGTTCAAAAGGGAAGATTTCTTGTTTGAAAATCAAAAGTGTGCAATAATTTAAGGTATATGGAGTAGGGGTAAAAATTAAAAATGGTTTTAAAATAAAGCTTAAACAGTTCTATAATAATAATAAAAACAGAAATCAAATTCCCTTAAAATCTTCTGAAATAATTGCTGGTTCATCATAAAAAAATCATCCTGTATATACATAATATAGTGGTATATTTTTTAATTATATTAGTTTGTAGAACTCAAAAAAATAAATCTATACTTATTTGAAGATCTAATCTGCAATTATATTTTTATACTAAACGTGTTTAATACTCGATATGATAATTTTAGTACAAAAATGTTTAAAAATTAAAATTAAATTTATTCGATTATTTATACATTTCTTCGTTAATTTATTACCTATTATGTTTTCGTTGTTATTGTTTGGGAATAAAGTATTGTAGTTGTGAGGATAATATAACCAAATTTTACTTTTTAGTCATATACATCAAATTATATCAGGTAAATCAAATAAACATTTTTAATAGCCAAAAAAATGTTTTGGAGAAAAAAAAACAAAAAAGACCTAGTACAAAAGTCTAGATCTAAATAGACTTTTATGAGAATATAACAGACATACTTCGTGCCATTACCATGGGTGTGTCACTTTTGTAGGATATAAAACGTAACTTAATTTATATTTATACGTATTTACTTAACAAAAAATCTTAGCAAACGAAAAATGATAGTAAGCGAACTTCGGTTTAACGTGTTTTAATAACTGAAATTTATATAAATTTAGAACTATAAAATAAATTACAATTTTTTTCTCAAATTGTTGCGCATTTTTCTAAGACAAAAATATTGTCATTTATAGATATACGATTTTCATCGTAATTTTAATTAAAAACGCTTATAAAAAAAAAAATCGTAAATACGGATATCAATATTTTTATAATGCCATAAAGTAACACAGCTTATGATGAACCTAGTACAAAATCGTCAAGTATTTTAAAGTTGCTGAAATAATTGTATACAAATGAAAACTAAAACAAAATTTAAACATTTCAAGTAGAAAGAACTCAGAAAACTTAAGAATGTTTTAAAGATTGTACAAAATTTAGAAAAGACTGATATAATTTTTACTAACCGAAACAGTGTTTTTCAAGAAAAAAACACATAATTTTAGTAATACTATAATAGTTTCTTCCCTTCACTTGGAATCTAAAAATGTATAATATTCTCTGTCTTGAACACATTACAAAATAAACATAGAAATATTAGAAACACAAGTTTATTTCAGTCAACAAATTAACAATATTATTTTGGAATGTCATTCCTAAATACAATAAATAAATCATAATTTTTTTTTTCAATTAACCTACAGTGGTGGAGGATTAGTTTTAAATACAACATAACTTAAGAAACACAGATACTCTCAGTATTATTACGTTCCACACGAATGAGCAAAATTCCAAATATTTACCTACAGTTTTTAAATTACATTAAATTAGGTAAATTAAAAGTTTTATTCAAAGTTACACTACTTGATAAATATAAATATTAGTGGTGATGCATATACTTACCTGAGCGAAGTTTTAGTAATTTATTTATTATAATTAAACAAAACGAAAAAAATTATGTTCTATTTGCATAGTAATATTATTAAAATTACTACTCAAATAAAACAAGTTTTCAAACAAATATTAAAAAGTAATACAAATGTATCGTATATACGTACATAAATAAGAATAAGTATAAAATAAACCTGGAGTATTATGGATTTGGTTTTTTATTCTAAGCAAATAACAAAAAATGTATTGTTTTACTATTGCGTCATGTGTAGTTTTTTTTTTTTTTTTCAGCTGTTAACACAATATTTCTGCGACTGAGATTCTATTCTCATAATCAACTTTAGGGTGGTTTCTAAAAAACCAAAATATCGCAGTCCAAGGCTCTCATAATTATTACCAAAAAAAACAAAAAAATCAATTGAATATTAGAACAAAAGTTATTACAACATTTGTCAAATCTCTGTAGACAACATACTGTTGTGTTGTTTTTATATTATATATATATATATATTACAGCTAATGATAAAAATCGAACTTAAAATATTATCTGTGTTTGGAGGTTGGTTTTTTGATATTTTAATTTTGAAGCGAGATACGATGATTTTTAAATGTAATATTTCACAAATTCAGTGACTATTAAATTAACAATACAACGTTTATTATACTAAACGAACATTTAACATTATCCAATTTTCAACATTAACGGTAACTAACATATATATATATATACAGTAGTTAAAGTAAGGGGTGGAAGATGACAGAGTCCCTCTTTTTATTTAAGGCAAAATTATCAATATTTAATATAAGTGTTTGAAGGCCATGGCAAGCTTTAGTTATTATTACTAAGACATGTTTAATGAAATTTTAAATATTCTAATTTTTCTTCTTCTCCTTCGTCTTCATCCCAACTCTTTAGGGTCAACCACTCTCGTTTAAAACTTCCGTTTAACTCGATCACCTATCTCGCATACATCGACATTCTTTATATCATTCTCTATCGCATCAAATCGCCTCTTTTTCAGTTTTCTCTCCCTTTTTCCTCCTACTTTAATTTCATTACAATTCTAACTGCTTCAGATTCATCTCTCCCCATGACATGCCTAAACCATCTCAGCCTATAAAAATAAAATAAATATATGATTATACTATTTATTATTATTACATCTGTAACTGCACTATTTATAATTTAAATGTAAAATCACATAATAATAAAATAAAAAAATACTTAATTAATTGCCCGCGACGTAATTAATACGTTATCACTAATATGTAAGTTAAATACGATAAAATATTGAAATCCATACTAATATAACTACTATGATTTCGATGTTCGATACTGTATTACAGTTTTGATTATACCGATGACTAAAGGTATCGAAGCATAGAATCGCCCGTCTTTAATATGCACGTAATTAAATATTTATTTGGAGTTATAATTTATTATTTTTGTTTGTTATATCGTATAGATAACGCGAGTCGAACATGCTTCCAAAACTCCTCTTGGAGCCTGACAAACTACAGCAACTGTACAATACTCTATCCCAGTCCTGCGAACGTCGCCGGAACGGACGACACTATAAACGTGATACTTAGTTTGTACACAGCCGGCCATTGTTTGTCACTAATAATGACGGCGTTGGCCATTTTCGTTTTCTGCTGGTTCAAGTATGACGACAGAGCTTTATTTTATTGTTATTTTACTATAATAACTGTCCCCTTATATCATATACAATAGTTGGAGCTACGTGTATTATACTCTGTATATACTCGACTGGTTCCAATATAAATCCCCACTTATATCATACTTTCTGATGACACGTACTAGTGCGCACGCGTACAACGGCTACCTAACCGCCTAACAACATTTTCCATACATTTTTTCGTAACCCGTCGTTTTTGATTGGTCAAGTCCCGGATCGCCCGGCCGCTACCGCTGTCACTAACTACTAATATTACTACTATACTGCAGACATTACTAGTTTGCACATTAGCATATGTAACCCCGAAATTATGACAAAAAGTGGGGAGTTATTTTGGACCCAGTGAACTATATTAATATATGATGGGCGTGGGCAAAAAAAAAATATCAATATAATATAAATACAATTTTAGGAATGTAGGTATATTAATCGCGGAAGCATTATGAGCGCAAGTACTACAATAATCGATTTCATAATATTGACCTCTGCCTCCATTATAGGGTCTGAACCTCATTTGAAATAAATATGGGCATGTCCTATCCATTCCTTCATTATCTATGATCAAAACCGGTGAAATTAATAAAAAATATCGATACTTGAAAATAGCAGTATATTTTGCCCATGTCTAATATAATAATTTGATTTAAGACCGTTTCACACAATTTATTCACTTAGGTTATTTTATTATCTATTATTCATTACACCCATTTAAGTTGGTTGAGTTATAAAATATATACAGAACACCTAGCTTTTAGAATACTTATAGTATTAAAATCGTTTTGTCAAATAATTTTCTAGTGAATATGAACTACTGTTACATTATTTTCTATAGTTAATATACTCAACATCTTTGAAAAATGAAGATAACTATAATATAGGTACTTATGATAGAGTCCCAACGGTTAAATTATAACTGAAATATTAAATCAACATCAACTAACAACTGACTTATAAAATGTGAGGTGACCACAATGGTGTATGAGCAATCACTATATCCACTAACCACTATCCATACAATAAAATAATATGTTGGAATATAATAGGTAAGTGAGAAAGTTGACATATTTTCCTGAACATATATATTACAACCAACGGACAATCGTATCTAATGTTTTTATGATGATGGCCTTTCTTTTCGAAAAATCCTATTTAATTTTACGGATTTCGGAAAGCCAGGGAGAAAGTGAATGACCTTTCCTCTTCTCCGGACGCTTATGGTGTATTTCCGACCTTATCTTCTAAGACCGCACCCGTGACCAAATCAATTCATAATAACCATAAGTTTTTTATCCACGTCACCAAAAAATACGAAAATCAAATTTTGTTCCAAAAATTCCAAAAACCTTAGGTTAGCCACCCTTTAAAGATTTTAATTTCGAAAGTCTAGCTTCGAAGTGCACATACGGACCCGTTCTTCCACTACTGTATATAAATTGTCAGACATGCGTGCGATCGATTCGGCTGTGCATTGCATACAAATTTACCAAACTTTGATATTTCAGAAAAAAACACTACTTATCCTTTTATTAATGTATTAACTATATGTATACAGAAAACAATCACGTACGAAAATCACGTACATTCTGTCGGACAGTTGTAGTTTTATTAATACACATAACATAACATGTACCCTATAATTTATTTTGTATGTATCATTTATGTTATAGAGAACTGAAATGTTTGCGCAACAAAATCCACACCAACCTGATGGCGTCGTATTTTGTGGCCGACTTAATTTGGTTACTCACTTATACCGTAAGTCGATAATTTTATATATAAGTTACTCGGCTTGAAAACAGCCAGCCACAAAAATGTAATTTTATGTAGAAAAAAATACGCAGTGGAAACTATTTTATCGAAAGTTTTTCGTTATGAATAAACACTTTTTTTTATTATTTTCTGTTTAAACTTAAAATTACGATATTTCAAGACTATGTTAAGTATACAATTCAGCGGATAAATTGTTATAAAAAAATAAATATCAACACCACTTTTTTTATTTCGACAAATAATTATATTTGTTTAAATATATATATATAGTTTATCAGCTGTAACAGTGTTTTTATTAAGTTACCAGATTTTTTTTTTTTATTTTGATTTCCATCTAAACCGTACAAGTATTTTATTACTGTACACGAAATACCTATACAATTATTATTGCGCAAATATATTGAATATATTACACACACAAAACGATAATACATAATTCGAATCATTTTCAAAATTTATTTTAATCACATTGAAATATATGTAGGAGTATATATAAATATGTACGTACAATGCGCATTAGGTGTCGACCGAAATGAAAACGAGTCCGTTTTCAATTAATATCGTTAGACTCGTATAAATATTTGTCTTGAATTATAATGTTGTAGTTTATTATGTATTTCGACAATTTGTGCGTTTCATTCAAAAATGTTTGTTTTACAGAACTTGACCGACACGAACGCGTACAAATGTGCACTGTTGGTGTGGCCGCTTTACTATTTCACCATGACAAATTATTTCTGGGCGTTCATCGAAGGTAAACATAATATTATAAAGCCACCAACAAAAAAAATTAAATTATAATCGTATACGCTAATCCTAAAACAACACGTACACTCGAGAGACGTATAGTATCGTGCATACTGTGTACACTGTATAATACTACATTAATATTTGTTTAAAATAATATACATGTTCATGCATTATTTTGTTTTGACGACGCGAAATATTGCCAGAAAAAAACACAAAAAAAAATTAAATAATAATAAAAATATATGGCATGCACAATTTCCAAGATATTCCGTATAACCTGTATCGAAAGAAATATATTTTCTTTTCCAGGGTTGTATTTATTTATACTGGTCGTTGATACGTTTTTTTTGGACCGACTACAGTTACGAACATACTTGGGCATCGGATGGGGTAAGTTTCATTGTTACGCTTATTAGCTAAAAAATAAAATAATTTATCATTACCTATATTAAATTGTCAGCATAGATTTTTTTTTAATTTTTATTCCATAAACATTCCTCTAGACTCTAATAGAAAAATAATGTTGACAAATCTAGAGTCTAGAGTTTTAAACGTCTTTTTTAATATCAGACTAAACATTATACAATTTTTCAAGACTTAAAATTTTATTTTATATTTTTTCATATCTGGGTGGAAATTTTAAAATCTGTCTGAGAATTTTTTAAGACAATAAAAACAATTTGTTAGCAATTATCTAGGTGAAAAATACCTAAAAAAAAAGAAAAAACGCTTTACCCGTATTTGACAATATTATACAACGGCAAATATATTGAATTTTAGTAAGAAAATATATAATATTTTATACTATATAACTAGTTATTTACACCCTTGCCGTTTAGAATTTTATTTTCACGTCATAAATATTCTAAAGAACGGGTAAGTAAAAATGATCTGTATTTTCTATCAAAATAAATTCCACTTGTCTATTATATTATCTGAAATAATTTAAATATGTGCTTTCTTTTTCTCAACGCTGCAAACAGTACAAACTAATAATATTCCATCACTTTTTCACACAGTAGAAATTATTATAAATACATTTTGACGGTTATCATAATTATTTTCACATAAAAAGGAAAAACGTCCATGAGTAGCAAAGCCCTAGTGCCGAATTCCCCCACTTTTTGGAAATAGAAATATTATTTACAAAACAATAAATAATCTTTTATTTTAATAACACAATAGTATACTATAATAAGTAATAATAACTACAATTATACAAAAAAAAAAAAAATAAGAAACTTGAAATTTAACCATAAAAATGGTAAGGATGGTGTAGAAAGTAAAAACCTTCGAAAACCATATCCTAGTTCCTATACGTCATGCACACACAAAATTTCATCACAGTGACTTTATTTGGGGAGTTTGTAAAGGTTTGAAAAGCTAAGAAATCACCAACCACCCGCAATGACGTGACTAAAATCATAATGAAATTCAATCCGATATCGTTCACTTCCATCAGCCTTCAAACTAACTCTAATTTCCGATTTTTAGTTCAGTAGCAGTCGCTAGAAATGTCCACGCGATTAAAGGGGAAAAATAAGATACGCGGGTAAATAATACATAACAGACACAACGCAGTGCAATAATATTCTATATATTTGTCGGGAAAAATTCAACTGAAATCAAATAGTAGGTTGAAACCCGCGCTCGACGATAGTAATAATAATTATTACCTAATGGTTGTAAATAAACGTATACTTGAAAAACAAACAAATGAACGAATTCCGAGTAAAAACGTCACGTCTACTTAAATGCTGGCCAAAGTCAAACTTGACCGTAATAATAATGCGATGTGACCAAACAGCAGCAGTAGCGTGTGTGCGCTGTGTATTTAACCGACAGAAAAAAAAATATACATTAAACCCGAGAGTTTTCTCAACATCACACTATATTATTTTATACGTAGCTGCGGGTATCTTGCGCTTATATTTGCGCTATACTTCAATCGGACATCGCAGCGTCGTCTATTCCTACGGTATAAAATATAGTATTCGCGTTGCGCTTTTGAACACCGTCCAACATTTCCCGTGTAATATACACTCGCGGTTCCGGTATATTATTGTCGGGAAAATATAATATTGCACGGTGTTAACCTTTTACGGTTTTCACTAAACCGAAATGTTGCGATATCAAATTATATTAATATAAGAAAGTGTGTGTCGAACAAACCGCGCGTCCGTTTTTCCGCCACTCCCCTCAACCACCATTCCCCGCCTACTCAGTCGCGATTATCAAACTTAATAACGAATCGTTGGGTTTTATAGGCTTTATTGGCTACTGGAGTGTTACCGTTCGCAGTGCAGCAGCAGATATCACGGAATAAATCCAAACGAGTAATTCGATTAGTTATATTATTATTATTATTATTATTATTATTATTATTATTATTATTGCTGTTATTATTGCGCGGGAGCAATAACTATAATAATAATACGGAATGATGGAAAGAAATTATTGAAATAACTGCTTTGGGAAACCGTATTGCGGACTGTCTAAATAAATTCGTTATATTGTGTGTGTGTGTGTGTGTGTGTGTGCAATAATAATAAAATAGTGAACGTAAACAAACCCCAATACAAATCTACGCGTTGCAACGGAGGGTTTATTTTCCTTTTTTTAGTTTGTTTTTAAACGATTCCAGTAGTTGTTATTCACAATTTTTTGAATACCGATACGGACATTATTTTTCCGAGTTTGCTGACTGAATGGATTTTCCTTCTAACGGTTTTAAACCGGAAATTCATATAATTATAATATATTGTTTAATTAAGTTTCATTTTTTTTTTTTTTTTTTTTTAGTTATTATCTTATTATTATAAGTTATAATAATAATAAAAAAAAATATCTGATCTGCTGATGGGTGTGTTATTGTTATAAGTGGGAAGTTGGGAAGACAAGACATATAGAGCTATTTAGTTTATGTGCACTAATGCACCATTCCAAATTAAAAACGATTCTGAGCAAAGTTCGGTTAAATATGGTTTTAAACTCCGTGGTTTAAATGATTTTAATTCAAATTTAAAAAACTACTACATAATGTTCAACTCTTCAAGCTCCCTCCCCCCTTCACACACACACACACACACACAAAGTACAACTTATTATAAACCTCGTGTTCAATTTTAATTTTTTTTTTTCTTAGCTGGACTAAAACATGTTTATCCTTATAAAACCAAATAATAACTAAAAAAAAACTCTAAATTTTAAATTTCAAATGGCTACCTGTATACAGTTCAACCATTTCAAACTATTTTGCGAAACCTACCACATCTATAAAAGACTCGTATAAGTATTCAGAGAAAATTGTAGGTCTTTACGTCTCAGAGTCAAAAATAACAGAACTATTGCGTACATTTATCCAATTACTTATTAAAAAAAAATCAAATAAAAACCCCTCCCTCCGTGTACCGAATAGACGAAATTTACTTTTAGTAATGCTGCACGTTATGATGATGTGAGTAAGATAGATCTATTTGGTTATAATATAGCTATGCGCTGAACACTTTTTTTTTTTTATTACATCAGATGTGAGTTTTTGGCCACGCGTTGGAATTATGAAAACTGTATTATGAATATTTTGAGTCGTACAACTTCCTACTGCATTAGCTTATTGGCACAATTGACAATATAATTTGTCTCCATTATAGAAAACTCAATAAACTCACGTCAAGTAATAATACAAATTACTTATAATCATCAAAGACATATTATTATTAGGTTATATTACGCTATAGTTATTAATATAACTCCATTAAATCGTCGAAATTCAACTGAACACAATATCATACTATGGAATTATTTAATTTATATAATAAATTTTCAGTATTAATACACGCTTAAAACAATAACGTGAACGTAGTTTTAATCGTTTTGTGATCGATGACGTTAAAAATAAACCATTGTTGTAATTATGCGGTAGAATAAATACGTATAGGTAATATTATACTCGTAACAACAACAACATTAATAAAATGACGTGTATTAATTGAGTAGATAATTAATTTTGGAGAAATTAATGAAAAACTTAAAAACGTTCAAAGCAACAAATGAGACACGTAAAAAAAAAAAACGATAACGAAAATTGGTTCTTTATCACAGTAAACGATTACAAAAGGTTCACTCCTCAGGTTCATAAATAATTGGGCATCAATTTATAAGCACGGGAATTCTAAGGATGCAAAATATTTAAATGAAATGTTAGGGTACAAAACAGAAATTACTCTCTTAAAAAATCGTGTAAACGAATAATCATTTATTTGTTAAATATACAGTGATCAATCTATCGTATGACACTCATTATTTCGGAAAGTATTAACTTTTTTCAGAATTTATTTTGTAAAAAATCTAAAATACAAGCAGCTCTACAATTTTACATTTATGTTAGTTTTTGTTACCCTTATTTTTGTGGGGTAAAATCACTACTTACTTTTGATTTTCAAATGGCAACCTTTAATAAAAATTCCGTAAATAAATAGAGTTGGTTAAATTAAATTTTAATTTCTTAAATGTTTTTTTAAAACAAATTGCCGAAAAAAATTATTTCTTTCCGAAATAATAAGTGCCTTACGATAAATTGATCACCCTGCATTATAACGATAGATAATGTCACTTCGGCAATATTTGCCTACTAATCTACAAAATATCTGTTTTATAGAAAAACTAGAGATTATTCAATTTGAATTCTATGGTGTTACTTGAGGAAAACATGATTTGCCCGACGCTTGAAAAGTACCATGTGACATGGGCATGCAATTAAAAATGGATATCATAATAAATAATAATAATATTTTTTTGTAAGATACATCTACTAGGTAAAAATGTACGTAGAAAACTTCCCGAAATGTTCAACATTTATGTCCATAAACAATTTTCCATCCATAAATCTTTTTCCAATCATCAAGTATCTTCTCTTAAAGAAAATTTTGTCTAGTTGGTGCAATGGGAGATCAGTTTTTAATTTTTATTGTTGTTTCTTTGATAACTTAAAAATGCGAAATTTGTTGTTTAATTTTTAATACCAACAAAGGGAAAAACACGACTTGCCTATCTACTCCGTTTAGAATCACTTTTTCATATGCCCTTTATCATATATATATATATATATATAGGATAACCGAGTAATAAACCTTCCCAACAACCAGTGGTAAATCCAAGAGAGAGGCAATAGGATCATTTGCCCCTCTCCCAAACACCCTAAATATAAATAATAAATAATACCTATGTACTCGTAATAACGTACTACAACTAGAGAATTACGTCGACGGATAGATAAAACACAAAGAAAAAGAAATAGTAATATTCTGATTGTATTCGACCGTTTTCGTATACTCGAACAAGTATATTATTAGTAATAATAAGTATAAATCCTAGCCCTATTTATTACAATATGCATTATAAATTAGTGGATACATAAAAATAATACTGTTCTGAATTAAACATTCATATTATTGTTATTATTATTTTATTAATATTTATCTCTTCTGCGTTCTATTTTGTATTGAGTGCCTCAATAAAAGTTGTCGTGAGCATCCAAAACAAAATTCATAAGTGTCCTTTTACTGGATTATTGATATTGTTTACTAACTTATTTGAATTTTATATAGGAATACCGCTGGTGGTCGCATCGATCTGGGGCATGACGAAAGTTTATGTACCCACCACACAGAACGTGAGTGTCAATAAAATTCAAACTATCTAAAATAAAATAATTTTTAAAAAACCATGCTTAATGCTTATAAACCTAATTGAAAAATAAATAATAATGGAAAATGTTAAAAAAATATCTTCTCACGTATACTATTATTATTATTATTATTCATAAATTTATAATATCGTCGAAATTAAATTACAAAGTAAATTAAAATTTACATATACATTTAATCATAAGGCACTTTTCGCGTTTTGATAGCACCCTTCTCATATATTATATTATATATTGTAAGTGTCCTATGTGCATTTGTGATCCTTAGTTTTTCATTCATTTTTTCCCTATTTATTTTTCATGTATTGAAAGCACCCCATGCTTAAATATGTGGTTATGTTATAACTATAGTATAATTTCGATGTTGTCATGATAGTGTAGGGTGGTGCAAACGGTAAATATGACCACGGATTATTTATAGTAAAGGATATACGAAAAAAAATTTCATGAGACATTTAGAAATATTTAGAAATATTTTCCCAATAGCCATACAGAAAGGTTAAAAACCGATTTCCAACGATTTGAAATTGTTTTCGGGCGCAAGCTATTATAAGCAATAAGCATGGTAATAAAAACTACATGATGACATTTTTTAAATTTATTAATATTTGTTCGTTGTTTTTACAGTTAGACGTATACAATGAAACGACACATAAAAAGTCCTGTGTACTGATGACGTCGAACGGAATAGATTGGATTTATGTGATACCAATAATCGTCGTTTTATTCATCAATTTACTGTACCTTCTAAAAATTATGTGGGTAAGTTCGATAATCGGTTGGAAATATTATTTTCTAAACCTTGCCTAATTCGGTCTGATGTGTTAAAAGGTGCTCATAACTAAAATACGATCGACAAACACTACAGAAATACATCGTTACAAAAAGGCGGCCAAAGCGCTTTTGGTTTTGATACCCCTGTTGGGCCTCGCCTTTTGTCTGGATTTTATCGATCCCAGGTTCTGGAATACTGATTACAAATTGTTGATCGATATTTTCTGTTATGGCAGAGTTGTCATTACGAGTACACAGGTAAATGTATACAATACATAATCGCAATACAAAAATAGAATAACCAAAAGGTACACTCCCGAAGTTTCGAAGTACCAGAAATGAATAATTCCCTTGTTGTCAATGTATTTTCTACTTTCTAGCCACATTTGTTAACCATCAATACTAATTGTAAACACAACCTCAAATTTTGTCGACAATTTAAACTCTACTGATGATTATTACAAAACATGGTGTTTTCTGTTGTTATTAAACAATACTACTACCATAAATCAAATAAAATTAAAGAATTTTGTATAATATAACCTGAAGAAATTTCAAAATGTCTGATGATTAATGTTTTTTGAATAATATTGTAAATCTTATTGAAATATCCCATTTTTCTGCTTATTTTAGGATAGAACCATTGGTGGAGGGAGGGCTTAAGCGAAGATTGGAGGATTGAAGGGCTTAGTCAAAAATTAAAACCTTCCAAAGCCCCAGTAATATGGATACTGTCCTTATGAAGTTTATATAAGGGTTATTTTAACCCATCTCAAAGAATAGTACCAAATTCCTATCTATGAGTAGGGACAAAAAATAAGGACATAGAAAATATAAAGAAACAGTCGTGATTTTCTTTTTCTTTTTTTATCACAAAATAGCGATTAAAGATTTTAAATATATTATATAATCCTTGTCATTACTTCGGTCGTATTATAGAATGATAGTAAACAATTTCATCCACTCAGTTTTCAACATTTTATCTTCCCCCCAAGAAAAACAAAAATGTAGCCAATTCCTTAATTTATGAATAGTTACTAAATATATATTTTTCATAAAATCGGTACTATCGCAATAGCTTGTATCGAACCAATAAAGTAAAACTCGTTTTACAATATCCTTAAATAATACCTACAATAACTGTATAAATAACTTGGACAAATCGATTATAATTAAAATCTACTACGGAGTTTGTGATAAAATAATAACATTATTACTTTACCTATTGCATCGAAACGCCGTACAAGAAAACGCCAAATGAATTCTTACAAAGTTGGTGTTATACATTTTTACAGGGATTCAACGTATCATTGCTGTATTGTTTTTTTAATCACGAAGTTCAAAATACTTTAAAAGACCACATTATCAGATGGAAAGAAAAACGACGTTTTATCGCCGCCCGAGAAAAGTATGGGCAGTCGTGGTTGTCGCAAAAAAATCGAAATATTTGGTAAGAATAGTCACTTATTTTATCGATTAAGATTATTAAGTTATGATGTGGGTGTATTGGGTTCTCATATCCTTAAATGTTCGATGGTTATATACATGGGCTACCATGGAGAGCAAAAGGGGCAGATGTCACACACGCCCTGAACAAATAACATGAACTAAAAATGTAAACTTTCACTTTTGCATACATATTGAGAATTTTTTTTTATTTTACCCTCTTCTCAAAAATGTCACCTATGGACGCCCATTATTATATACATTGACTATTTATTAATAAATACTAGTAGTTTTTCTTTCGTAATATATACATAAAATTGTTTGACCAAAGATTAAATGCTTGAGCATTTAACAGGAGATTCAATATAAGTTGTTCTTATAGTAGTAAAAAAAAATAACTGACATAATTCGCACAACAGGTGGACCACTGTTGTTGATGAAATGTTGAGAAGGTTGGATACAGAGACGAATTTAATATATATATCTGTATGCAACGATTAATCATTAAAAACGAAAAACGATTCTAAATGGAATTCGATAAAACATGTTTTAAAAGGTCGTTATATTTACGATTTTCGTCAAAATTTGGTATCAAAATTCTTATAAAAACAAAAAAAATACATTAAACTCAACTATTTCTTGTTGATTACTGAGTACAACTTATAACATAACCACCTGTTAAATTTTCAAACATTTCCGTTTGGCCTAACAATTTTATCCACAGAGTACCTACCGAATAAAAATTACGTAAAAACTCGCAAAATGAATATATCTATAAATTGCTTAAAAATGGCTCAAATGTTTTAAAAATGTTACCATGTTTAAAACAGGCAAATATTAGTCTCATTTTCAACTAATTACAACAAAAAAACAAAGTTCAAAATAATAAAAGCATTTTCGTAAATTTTCCCGTTTTCCCCAATTATTATGAAAACTACTTGGAAAAAAAAAAATGACCTCCCTAACGTACCAACTAGAAAAAATTTCCTTTCAGAAAAAATGCTACACTTGATACATTGGAATACAATTTCTGGTAGAAATTGTATAAAAAGTATAAAAAAAAAAAAAAAAAAAAAAAAAAACAATATAAATAAAATAAACATCATCTTAAAACCAATACATCGCTTTGCTCAGAATATAATAGAACTAATGTCATTTTTTTACGTCGGGTTGTAGAAATATACGTCTGTAAACAATTCGTACATACCTACTGCATATATAGGTAGCAAATTCGAGTACCACGGAATTGTGTTGGAAATATTAACTAAAACAAATTACTGAATTTTCTACCTACAGTCACAATATGGGAGCGAAAGAACCGTGGATACCGGTGGAAAACAGTAACGGTAGGTCGTCTTCGTGCATCAGCAACACCACGACCTCTTCAGCGATGTCGACCACCAAACTTTTGAACACGACCATCGAAATACCTGATGATACCGGATACCTACAACAAGAACAGGACAGTTGTTGATGGACACTGTTTTCAGTAATCCAGTCCGTTTCGTTTTTAAAACTGCTTTAATATGATAATTATGATTATGATTTGAATCCATCGCGCTGAAAATCACATTTTAATAATATGGTTATTATTTTTATTTTTTTTTTTTTTTTTTGTTTTGGTATTATTAATGTTATTATTGATTGTATGTATTAATTACATTATATTATAATTATTAAAATACAAATAGTATATGAAAAATACATAATATTATAATAATAATATATTGATTATATTATCGTTTTTGTATACACTTATGTTAAAAACGAATAATAAAAAATATAACATAAATCGAGTTTGTTAATTTTCATTAATTCCTAGTAGTATAACTATGTATCAAACATAAATATCATTTGGTTTAGTATTTTCTGTCGTCTTCTTCTTTTTGGTTTCCAAGCAGATAAACGTGACATAAAATTAAATAAAAAAAAAAAATTTGTGTTCACATTTTAACATTATATGCAATATTGTACATTATTTATTTAATTAATATTTTCATATTATTAAATACATTTTTAAACATAATATTATTATTTATGGTACAAAGACTAAAATGATTTTATTTATTTTTCTAAGTCATTTCTAAAACATTTTTTATTTTTTTTTTTTTTTTAAATAATCATTACTATTTCATTATTCGTTTCCATTACTATATATTTAAAAAATATTGTACCACATTAAATAGGTATTTAGCACTATCAATGTCAGTGCACAATTCACGAATAAGTTATTTAGGAACGTAATAGTTTATTGTTATCCTTATCGTATTCATTTTTTTCTACTTAATAATGTTGATATACTTAAGTACTTATAATAGTAGCGATAACAAAACGTATAGACAAACTCCGCCCACTGCGCTTAGACCAGCTACGGTCGGGAAATACGCTTACGGTTAATCGTATCCAATTCAGCGTTCTTGCTGAAATAAATTAGACTCTACAAATTTTAAATATAAAAACGATTTATTGTTATTATCTTATCATTAAACCACGATTAAAGACAGTATATTATAATTGCTCATCAACCTAAAATTTCAATATAAGAATTATTATTTATTATATCGATCGAAATGAATCCTTTGAAATTTTTTTTAATAATCTGATAAAAACGTACGAAAAACAAACAAATTTTCGACATATTAATAACGGTTTCATTATTTCCTATTTTGATTTTTTTTCTATTTGTAATTCGGTTAAAAGTAATTACAGGTATAGACATCTGAAATTACCACAGAAAACTTAAAATAATCTTTTGTAGACGTGATCAAACTTTTACAATATTTTGGTTATTTTTGTGTTATTTCTAAGCATTGAATATATTTCAAGTTGTTTCAGTTTTTACCAAACGAACCATAATAAAATGACGACCGATATACATTGCTATCAAACAGCTGAAAATTTTAGCGCTTGTTAAAAATATCCAATGCCTATAAATAACTCAAAAAACGCCAAAATATTATAAGTTTTCTGTAACAATTTCAAGTGTCTACAATTAATTTTAACCGAATTACAAAAAAAGGACGAAAATAAAAAATAATGAAACCGTTATTATTACATCGTAAATTTATTCGTTTTTACCAGATTACAAATTATTCAAAACAAATTACAAGAAAAATCAAAAAGTGATATCCTCAATGCACCGCCTTGATAAAATTTGCTTTTGGAAAAAATATTATTAGAATTACATAAGTATAGACGTTATATTCTTGCAAAATTAATAAAAAAAACGTTTAAATAATGGTGTCAACGTACCTAATGCTTTCGTATTAAAACATGAACAGCTTTTAAATGGATAACTACAAAAGAATTGGATAACGAATCCATTAATTGAATCCTATCATCATAAAAAGTCGATAGTTTTGTCCACGTGATGTTATTGTAGTATAATTATAATCATTATTCATTATTTTTATATTTACGGGACTTCTAAACGACACAAATATACAACAGCGGTTTGTTGTTTTTTCTTTCCAAACTTTTAAATTATGTTAATGTCTCCGATCGTTATAATAAAATAAAATAAAAAACAAAAAAAGTATTGCGTTGTATTCTGTATGACAAATTTATTACGTTTCTGACATTGAATATAATTTATACGAATCTTAAAGGAAAAAATGAAATGCTCGAATTTATGTATAATTCCTTCAGTTTTACCTATATAAAATTATTGGTTTCCTAGACACACTATATATTATATTGAAATCTCCGGCGAGGGAAAATATTTAATTCATTCATTTTCGTATTTTCTAGTTACGTCCGTGAACGTTCGATTAAGAATCCATAATTTTGTGCTATAAGTTATAACGGCTTATACTTAAATGCAGTAATAGATTATTACGCTCTGCTGCAGTACATAGATACTTTACATAATTTTCGACGAGAATATACCTACCTACACCTTATATAGAAATTCTACAACGGCGGCTATATATTAATATCAATTTAAGTAAGAAATTTCAATATTCCTATAACATTAATTCAGGACTTCGGTTTTAGACTGAACCAAGCGAAGTTAATTATACTGCAGTATGGTTTTTCTTCTATCTGTAAACAACTTTTCGACCAGAAATCTTGCTCTGATCATCAACTTCAGAGGAGGTTTTTCAGAGTTTCAACTCTTTTTTTAATTTGAAAACCCTCTGATTTTTCCCGGTTTTCCAAAAAGAAAATCATATTTTCATGCCGACATGTTTGTATTATTAAAAATTTTAGAGTCAATTCTTTTAAGCTCTTGTAAATTAGCTAATACTAAAACCTCAATTTTAAATTCCACTGCTTTCTCCGCGCTTTTGTGAAACGAATTAAAATACAAAATTGCTTCATTAATTTTAATACTTTGACTAATTTCAATTATGTGAAAATACTTTTTAATTAAAATTATTTAGTCACAATACAATAATTCAATTATTTAAATATTATAATTTTAACCGAAACGTGGCATGACACAATTTTGTGTTTCTACAGGATAAATTCTTTCCACTCTTTACTCTAAAACAATCTCAGGCTTACGTTATAATTATATCTGTATATGTATTATGTATTTGTAGCATGTATGAATTAAGTATAATGTATAAATAAATAAAAGAAACTGGAAAATCAATTAAATTCCTTAATATATCAATAAATGAAAAAATAAATTATTTTATTTTATCTACAATTACAGAATTTAACGAAACTTGTTTAAATTATTTAGTTTAATTAAGTGCCACAGTCCACAATGTAAGAACTATAGAAAAAAAACGACCAGCTATCAAATTGCGAATTTCCAAGATTATCATGAAATGTCCTTGATTCCCTAAACTTTTTCTAGTTCACTGACTAAATTTAAATTTTCCTGACTTTTTCAGGTTTTCTAGATTTTCAGAGAGAGTGGTAACCCTGTTTTTATCAGCAAATCTCTTTTATTTATAACAAACAATACCATATTTACGGTTTCCCGAAAAATCATTAAATTTCCAACATGTCCTAGTAAAGAACCAAAAAAATCATAGTTTGTTTTCAACATTTAAACGCATCAATGTACAGTTCCTACAGTTTTGTTTGGCTTTTATGGCTTTTAAGTCTATATTGATTAAAATGTACACGAGTGTCACCAATCCCCTCAAATAAACAAATGTAATAGATATGTAAATATAAATGTATATGAGTGAATACGCGTTCAAACGCCGCCGTCGTTTTATTAAAAAAAATAAAATAAAAAATTACCCGAAGCCACTGGCTTCGTGTAAAAATCAACGGATCGCGGTGAGCGAGGTTAAAAAAAATAATAAAAACTTTTCCAATAACTTTGGACGTAATAATAATATATGACGCACGTCGTCGACGCAGATATTATTATCACGACGGACGGCAAGCGTTTATTATTGTTTATTGAACGTAAATAATAATAAATAATAATAATCGTGGCACTGCCGGTGCCTTTTGTTGTTCAGCGAACCGTGCGAAACAACCTCAGCGACGACGACGATGGGCGTCGCGAACGGATTAAAATTAAACTATTGCAATATAGTATACCATAAATTTATAATAATATGATGTGATGTACACATTATGTGATGTGTGTAAAAATTACACAAACGAATATAATGAGTGTTCATCCGAAAATACACAGGGTGATTTGTTTATCACAGTCCAACTAACCAATGTCTATGTCCCATACTGCTGGGGTCTCTAATCTTTTTTACGGCGGGCCGAATTTGAGATACGCTTTTCTCAGGCAATATAACCTAACCGTGGAAAATACTATTGATAAATAAATAATATTGTCAAAACATCAGTAAACTTGGCGGGCCGGTTTGACGAGCTTGACGGGCGGGAATCCGCCTCCGGGCCGTAAACCGGAGAACCCTGTCCTATATTATAAACTCTATACCATAGACTTGTATTATTAACTATATCAACACGGATATATTTTTGGTCCCAGGGAAGAAGTCAAGTTTTGGCTTTTTATTTAATATATATAATTATGTCTTGTAATATTTTTCTCGTTTATTTTTTGATCAAAAGTAACAAGTGTATACCAATATATATATATATATATATATATATATATTTCAACACGTGTTATACTAAAAATTAAAATATCTTAATCACTATGATGTACTTTTTGTTTGGCAAAACTGCACAAGTCATCATATAATCGTTATGACTTAAGCCATTTAGAACGCGTGCATGTAGATTAGGCCGTTTAGCCGTTTGTCCCTTCCTTCTTGAGACCAAAGATATAATATAATAAACTGTAAACAGCAAACTGCTATATCAAACGCATAGTATGCTCGATTGGTGCGGACGACAGCCGTTTAATTCAAGGATGATAACCGTGTGCTTTATTATCGTATGCTTTAATATTGCAATAACTGATATATCTGTAATTAATGTGATCGCCACCGTGTTACTATAATGATCCCCGTATGGCATATACTCATGGACACATGGACCCTATATTATGCTTGTAAACATAAACGTGCCTAAAACAGCGTTACGAGTTCCGTGACAACATAATGGGGACGGAGGTAAACGGCAGTACCTATAAGTGATTAACAAACTGTTAAATGTAATTTGTTAAGACAATCGTGTGTCACCGTAGATCTCAGGTAGGTTTCAACACTTTTTAGAAGACTAAAAAATCTTTCTGAAACGACATTTAAAT